TTCCATTTTTTCTCCACTTCCTCTGCTATAATATAGAAAATTTAAATTAATAGACTTGTACTCCAAATTCAAATAAAGAACATGTGATCTAAATACTAGGCCTATATATCGATTCTACTAGACTTACCTGTTATTTGAAATTTAACACCTGTAGCCATCCATAAACGTTGTTTAAATACAGTGTCTTTATACATGACACTGATTTGGTCGAACGGATTCAATAAACTCAATAAACTCCTCTATTTCATTTATTTTTAGTTTTTTCGAGACCATCACAATTGTAGGGTTAACCCTCATTGCCGCCATTGTTAAAATAAAAACCACGTGTCTACTTCGACGTCATAGGAAAGACCTCTTTATTGGAGGAATTTTGGCGTAAAAATTTTTCAGCATAAAAAGTAGAGACACGTTCTACTCTATTTTCAGTTCTGTTTCAGCCAAAATTTCAGAAAAATTTTTACGTTTTCTGTTTTATGCTAGATTTTACGCCGAATTTTACGCATGTGTGTTCCTGGCCTAACGTGTAAATAGGGCTCACCTGCCATAGAAAGACTTAGCGGGAGGCACTCTCCCTTAACTTGCGTTGCCTTATTATATCAATTCAATCCTATTGGAAAAAATGGCAAGTTTCTACACAAACTCGTATCCGGTCATTTTTTAATCAACAACCTGCTTTTTATTTGATAGGTTTTGGCACCACCACAGTATCCTTGACTAAAATTTCCGTTTCCGAACTTTTAGACCAGTATTCGAACTATTTTTAACAAAATACAAACATTTTTATAGAGCCGAAACAAATATATACATCTGTCTATTCAGTCTTACTAAAGCCGGTTGTCTTTCAGGGTTGAATAATAAACAAACATGATGATTAAACGAGTTTTTAATGCACAGAAGCTCTGTTTCAAAACCTTTTGAAAGAATAATTTATGTGTTTACTTTATATCGAATAAATCTTAGTTTTTACGCATTGAATTTCCATAATTCGGCAGTTCGCACGTAACTATAAAATAAACCTATTCACGCCAACCTTACGTATATACATGACTTTAAGCTATTAAAATGTCGAACCCCGTCTAATGCGTAACACTAAAATTATATATAAGCATTTCTCCTCTGTTTATATAATTCATATATTCAGAGTCACAACCTTAAGAACCTATAGCTAAAGTAATTTGGGGCCCTCATTCAGTTCTGTTATCCCTCCTAAAAGCTGCGGGAAACAGGATTCCAGCCCTAATTGTTCCCATTAAAGTCATATATTGCATTCAGTTAATAGAACGCCCTATAAATTACGCATTATAAGATTACAAATAAGCTAGAAAACCCAATGTAGGAGTATTTTTGGAGAGTGAAGTGGGTGTAACGCTTTAAAATACTATCAGATTCCTGTTTTAGAAGATAACTTCTATAAAACAGGCTTCTTTGATAACTGGTTTTCGTTAATTTATACTGTATAATTTTTCTTTCCGCTACACAGATAATCTTTCAATATAGTGTACTGTACTTCAATTAATTCTTCATAATTCTTTTCTATACGATTTATTAACTTATACTACACGGGACGAAATTCTCATTTATCGGTAGGTTAATAACTCCTGTGCTTTTTGTGGAAGATTTCTGAAATTTTGCAGAGCGGTTTGTATATTAGGGGGATTGATGCTATTAAATTTTGATGGTTGAAGGTCGAGAGGATGGGAAGATAAAGGGGGTCGTGTCATATCTCGAATTGGGTCTGACTTAATGACGATTTTACTGGTTATTAGAATTTACAATTTTTTATAAAAACCTATCCCTAAAAATTAAGTCTTTTTCCCAATATATAAAAAGCTATTTTTAATAAAATATCTTAACGGATGGCGCCACCAAATGTTGCCGGGAAAGTTAAGCAACTGGTTGCTGGATTTCTTTTTTTTTTCTTGTAATGAATATAAAATGGTGTTTGGGCTTTTAGATTTAGATAATTATTAGCCTTACAATTGATAATGGCGGATAGAGGTGTTATTTAATAAGAGTATTGTAAAGCAACTACAGATTATTACAATAAAAAGATTTAAAAAGGTAACGGTACGCATTGCATAGCCATTTTTGTTGCTAATTTTGCTTATTCCATTCATCGATTCACACGAAAAATTTGACGTAGCAACTACTTCTCTCAAGATATTATGTATTTTTTAAAATAATATAAATCGGCATACATATAATTTACGATATAAAACTGTTGCCATTTCTATTTCCAGCGGTTCAACGAGCTCTATCCGCGTGCCGTACGAAATGACGTTTTGACCTTCAACCTTAAATAGTGATGACAAAACAACTGTGACCTAAATTTAAAAAAAGTGTCAGGTAAAACAGAAACGGTTTAGATTATATTTTGAGACAAATAACTATGAAGTGTATTCATTATTCAAATGTGTCCTTAAAAAGTCTTATTTATAACGTAGACTGTTATTTATTCGAAATTAAAGTTATGACAGAAATGACAATGATTTATGTTTTCGATTCGCAAAAAAAAAAAAAAAAAGGATTCGATTCGACTTCAAGGAGAGGACGACATTAATTAAAGCCAGAATCAAAATCACTAGCTAATTATAATTAAATTGGTTTTTTTAATAATACAATGTATTAGTCAAAATTTCAGAGAAATAAAATCACATTAAAACTAGCAATTATTTATTGTGACGTAGTCGCAATGGCTACCTCACAACACTCTTCACCTCAAATTAGTAGTGGCTTGCCCCTGTACATTATACTTTTCCTGTTAGCAACAGAATAGTGCCCTCTAACTAATCTAACTTCTTACAGGGGGGACTGTTTAACTGAAATAACGTCACTTTCGGTTTGAATCGTATGTTCGTATACAGTTAATCGGGACCTCCTGTCCCTATTCTTTCAAAATCTAGTCCTAGATTTCACCTATTTAACTTCGTTCGGAGATTAAGTAAAGACAGACAGACAGCAGACATTTATAAAAGATTACGATTAATTTAAATTAAATAAATAAATAAGATTAGTTTAAATGGACTTGTTCTTCCCCTCGAAATGTTCAAGCAATGTAAAGCTGTTCTTAAACATTTCAATAATTACGCATAGTGCTGCAAAAGCTAAAGCTACGTGTTATATTTTCACTACAGATATTTGGAAGGTTAAAGCCCCCGTTTTACGGATTAAAACTAAAATTATATTTTTATTTCCTCTTTTGGCATTTTCGAAAATAGGTTTTATTATTGTTATTTTAGTGTATTCCTCAGCATTTTGCATACGAAATTATGTACTTAAAATTATTATACTTGACGAATTTAATAATTTAAAATCAGATTCTGTTAGCGGGATTTTAATAAAACATTAGGAAAGTTAACATATTTAAGTAAAAGACTCCGTGGAAATATACACAATACAACTTTAATAACACCCATTCTCACTCCACCATTTCATCGCCTTGACACTTTCTGATAAACAGAGCAACGGTAGGATAAAATAATCAAACTTTTAATTTGGTTCTCGTTGTAATGTTCTCCTTACTTTACGACCGGTGTATCAGCCATTTAATAATAAAAACAAATAATTTACGTGTGTATGTGTGCGTGTTTGCGTCTATTTCGCTTAATATCTCAGGATGGGGTACAGATTAAGCAAAGAAATTTGGCACGGTGGCTTGTATATGAGGGGCATAGATGCTCTTATATTTTGGTGGTAAAAGGTCGAGTAGTTAGAGAGATAGATGGAATCATGTATCTCGAGGGATAGAACTTAATGAAGATTTTATTCGTTATTAACATTTACACTCTTTTATAAAACTCATCCCTACCCTCAAAATTAAGCTTTTTGCCATTTTATAGTAATTAGAAATGTAAAAAAGTTTTTTATAACAAAATCTGATAACAGATGACGCCACACACAATTTTATTTTCTTCTTAATAATGGAATAACATATTGCTTTTTTGCGCTTATTACTATTTAACACTTGGTCTAAGTAAATACACATATACAGACGGGCTTATCACATCAGTGAATGGGATTAATTCACAAATTCTTTAATGATAATTAACACCTTTGTGTTAATAACTTTAAACATAACTTTACAATAACAATGGTTCTTTTAACATGTACAGTATATTATATTCTTAAAAATTTGACTGACAAAGAAAAACAAATGAATGAAATTAAACTCTGGTCGTCATTTTAAAAAATCCAGCAACGAGTTGCTTAACTTTTCCGGCAACGTTTGGTGGCGCCACCTGTTAAAAACTTTTAAATAAAATATCGTATCTGTCATAAAATGGCAAAAAGCTTAATTTTGAGGGTAGGGATGGGTTTAATAAAAAAAATTGCAAATGCTAATCGTCCCCTCTATCATGTATAACACCTGGAAAGTAAAAAGTCTATAAAGTCGCATAAAATAGGGTCTGTTGTATACGAGTGTATATCAGTGATGCACAAACTATAGCTCCGGCGAACATATTTGACACTACCAAATAGTCCTACTTTTAGTATAAATAGAATATACAAAATATTTATGACCCTCTACCTAAAATTTATGCACAATTTGGCTCTACAATGGAAAAGTTCATATTATTGAATGTTATCGTAATCGTTTCTACTCTTCATGAACAGAAGCTACACGTTAAGGATTGTCCTCCGAGCAAATGAACAAAAGGTTCCTTGCTTTAAAGTATATTTTATTTTTAACAAACTATGTCATCTCATTTCTCTTTTACTCCAGTAACACTAGAATTTCCCGATTTATATCGCCATTTTTGCTATTAATAGTTTTCTTCTTGTTACCCCAACAACAATAAACAGCTCTGGCATATAACTCTCCTTCATTACTTTCTTAGTTTGTTTATTAGTTTATAAAAACTACAATGTTTCTGCTGTCCTCTTTTAGCAATTTTCTGTAGGAGTTTATGTTTAATACAAGAAAAAAGTACATACTATGTAGTATCATTTTATATAGGTCTATTTGAAATTAATGTTTGTATATTTTGTTTATGTAATTTTATATGAATGGTTTAGTTGTTAAATAAATAGTAGTTACCTCTTGTAAACTAAATCGACTTTTAAACTTGTTCACACTATCATTTGCCATCATATAAAACTGTTTAGAAGCCAATTCATTCTACAAATGATTAAATGCAAAAAAATATATACTTTGTATGTTAAATAGTTATAAATTAAGCATAAATTCTCATCAAAAGATTGAGAAAGAGTACAGAACGTGCTTAATCACAGAAAAATTCATTAATTTTCACATTATAATACAAAAGAATACGCTGTAATTCAAGGCTACCGTAACGATTCGTGCGTTGCATTGGCAAATACTTTCCTATAGCCACAAGTATAATGCACATTTACTACAGTCACAAGGTGGTTTGATTTTCTACGATAACAGAAATAAGTAGGGTTCCTTATTCACGAAATAAATTGTCTCCCTTGCTTTGGGAATCAGGTTTTTGGATGTGACGTGACATCAAGGGAGAAATAAAAACAGAACTTTTTAAGTTAAGTGGGTCGTCATGAGAAGGTTAAGGTACTGCAAAAGTGCTCTTCTCTTTCTCGGTTTAATTGTTGTTTCCGTCACGTTTTGTTTTGTGTCTAAACTCAGGTAATTTCTGTATATTTTTTTGTTCATTTATGTGATATATTTTCGATTTTTTTCTTGTTTTTATTACGTAATTTTATGTGTAAAAAGATTTCCGTGCGACTTACCTGTAGCTGATACGTTTAAACGTCATCGTTCTCCACTCGAAAGCAGACGATAGACGTCGCCTAACCCTAATTAGGCCTAAGGAAAATTACGTATTTTTTTAAATTTTATCATAATTTATACAATTTTTAACAGTTTAAATGTATTTATTTACAAAAATACTCACAACGGAGGCAATTTAACACGTTTCTTTGCATTTTTAAACGTTTAAAATTCGATTTAATCGACTTCATTTAGGCTACGTTCCGGTTAATTGTAACTTGCAAATAAACCAATCCCGGGACTCGTTAATTAATTTATTAATTAATCCGCCGTTTAAATTCATATATTTATAAGTTTAAGAACAAAACTGAAAATTTATCCCGTTAATTAATTTATTCATTTTATATTAAAAAAATGGCAAGAATTTAAATTATATCCCGTGCTTAATCCGGTTTACGTCAGTCGTTACGTCGTTTTAAAAACCCGCCATCTTTAAAATTTATGAATCCAATAGTCAATATAATTAATTAATATTCCCTTCTAGACATTAAACTATTTATTTTATTTCATTTATCATGTCGAGATTTAATGTATATAAATTATACATTAAAATCTTTATTTAAATAATAGGTATTGTCTATCCGCCATTTTGGATCTTTCTTTCTAAATGGACCGATACAACCATACTGTGGATTCCGTACTATAGGATTTATTTCTCTATTAATTAATGTAACGCATTTAAAACTACATAAAAATATGAACTCTGCACACTTAATTAACTTTTAAATATCATTTTAATTTTATTTACAAATGCATACGATTAATTAAACTATTAAAGAGGTAGTCCTATGGTGGCCAGGGCAAACTTACCTTGCCCGCCATATTTACAAAGGTCTACGCATGTTGGAAAGTTGTAAACAACCTCGTATGACGTAAAAAAAAAGGTGAAAGAAAGACGACCTTTGCCATTATGTCAGACTAACGAGTGTCATAAGGTTACAGTCAAAATAGAGATTACTCAGAGGGTAAAATAGGCCTTTAGCACGTGTCTAAGAATGGCGATTCTGTCATAACAGTTTGCGTGTGTGGCAATTATCCAGGGCTTGTATATTGCAGCCAATAGTGAGCATATTTCTTCATAGCTTCTGGTGTGGAAATTGAAGGGTGCACCTCGTTGTAAATTAAGTTTTTTACCTTAAAACAGGATGATAAAAGTGTTTTTTTGTTGTTGTTGTTGTTGTTTTTTGGACCGAAACCAATTCTATAAAGGTGTAGCGTACACAAAACGGGGCAAAGTTCGTTTAATTTTTGTTTACTCGGTCACGCTAAACGTGATCGTCGTCACGGATGGGTGCACTTCTAGGTTTGTGTTTGATCTTCCCTTAAGACGTTCCTTGCTGGACGAGTTCGTGACGATGCTTAAGTGATGATCCCGAATCATTATCACCATCTTATTAACTTGTAGTTAACAGTTTGAGGCAAGTAGGTCCTGGTGTACCTCTTAACACACAATTAAAATGTAAGTTATAAAGTAAAAACGAGTTTTTAAGCACGTTTTAGATCTCTTTCACATAAAAAATATTCATTTAACTGCACTGAAATCTAAACAATATGCAAAATAAACACGGTGCCTAGCCTCCTACTGATAGAAGTGCCCGGTTGAGAATGGATAATGATTAACAATTGAAATTAATTTTGGAAAAATAAGCCATTGACATTAGCAAAAAATACGTCGGTGAAGGCGACATTAACAAGTGCTCTAGTTTATATATTAAGAACATTTGTATATTGTAATCCGAACTCGGGACTTGTTAGAAAACATTTGTATTGTAAGGGCCTTTTTTAAATTCTTCCACCCCTAGAGCCCTAACGGGTTCGGCCAGACCCATAAAGGGGATCCGTGGTGAGGGACGTGGCTCCTACGTATCCAGATGGACCAAACCAGAAAAATTCCTGGGGTTTTTCGACCCGTATGGATTCGATCTCGGGTTCCCCATAGTGGTAGAACATCCGGCCAAATTTGTAAGGGTCATAAATTTCAATTAATTGGCGGAATAAGAAAATGGTTAGGTTAGGTTAGCAATGACAATGGACGATCTGCCAAGGGAGAACTTTCTGCGAGAAACAGACTCCTATTCAGGTGTTTAGACTCGTGAAGAAAACACGAAAAACTCCACGTGAATAACGGGCTGGCTACGTGGAGTTTGTATTTTCTTCCACACAGGAACTACGTCATTTCTTGTGACGAAGAACAAACATATATCCGGTTACGTTTCTTAAAGCGTTTCCAACGTTACAGCAACGTCTCTACGAACAGTTAATGCGAACCGACATCACACAGAATAAGCCTCTAATTTTATCACATGGTTTTAAATTCTACTACCTTATCAGTATAAAATTAGCGTGTTTGATTTTCTTTTTAAATGACTAAATCATTATCAACGGTAGTCAGTGGACGCGTAGCGATACAAATAAAATACAATTGCCTGGTCACAATTTCTAGACAGGAACAAAAGCATAGAAAACTATTAATCAACTCGTAAAGATGTCAGAAATTTCATACGAAACAATGGAATTAAATCATTTGTCACGAAGATTGGCATTGGTCCAGAACGAGTTCAACGTCCGACACTAATTACTCGCTTCCCTTTTTTCGTTTTGGAACTTTCTGGCCAAGTTTTCATAGTTCACTTCTAAAAATACTCTTGTCTAAGATAAATTTAAAGCCAATTCTATAAACGAATGTCGAATACTTCCGTAAACCAATCCCAGAAAGTAATCTTTCAAAGGAATAAGCCAAGGAGTTTAATAATTGAATAAATTACTCAATTAATATGCAAGAGATGGTATTGATCTTCCAGTCCCGAATTAGTCTAGAGAGTTTATCTGCATCTAGTTGATCTATTTGTGGAGTTAGACAGGGATTATTACTCATTAGATGAAGGGTTTGCACTTCTACTTAATCCAGACATCATCCACATAGCATATATAATAAACAACCTGTGTGCAAAGGCTGGGAAAACTACAAGGTCAAGTTTCCTGATAATAGGCTCAAAGAAGAGCATTACACTATCAGTGTAATGCTCTTTGTGAACTCATAGGTATACCTGTTTGGAGTTACCTCCTGGTATATTCGTCTTACAAAAAACATCAAGGGTGGTGCTCTTTGTGAGCTCATCATCAGAATGTACTGTACCTAAGGATATTCCAGGATGTACAGTACCGTCTACAAATAGAACAAAGGTGTTCTTTCTCATAGTTTGCCCATCTTTGTTCTGTTTGTAGAGTTACTTTTGAAAGAGGTTTTTGTTCCTTCAATTCTAAGATCTACAGATGAATGGCATATTTAGTGGAGAGATTTCTCTAACATCAAATTCTGTACCATACAGTAAATATGGGCATACATTATGAATCATTGTTTATAGTTTCTATGTAGCTCATTAACACAAAATTATGGTAAGAAACATATTTATTATAATCTGTAGAATTATAATCGTTATGTGACCACAAAATTAAAACTTAATAAACTTTTATTAAACAAAAAATTAAAGAAAAATCAGTAATTTATACAGTATTTAAACTTAAATTCGTTAATATGACTTCTATTCTAGCATAGGATAGTAATACAAAGAAATAACTGTGGTGGGGCTCAAGAATGGTATAAAATATGCCTAAAACATTAGTATTTAACTAATAATTTGTAATTTCTAGACTTATATTTATATGCAGATATTTATTATTTATTATAAAGAAACTGAATGAAGAAACTTCTCTATCCTTCTGATAAAATCAGAAGGATAGAGATGCTTCAATTCAAGACATTGCAGTCACTCCAGAGTTAAGGCCTCTCTAAGGCCTTAATTGTAACTTAATACAGTTTTATTAATTGATAATATCATTTCTCAAATGTAATTTAATTAGTTTGATCTTTTGCAAATTACAGTGGTACCTCAGGATACGAAATTAATCCGTTCCGAAACTGAGATCGTATCATGAAAATGTCGTAAGGTGGATCATCTTTTCCCATACGATTACATGTAAAACCAAATAATTCGTTCCAACGCGAAAAACATACTCAAATTAAAGCCAAGTAATATATTAAAAAAAATAACTGTAGTAAGAAAAACAAATGAAAAATGCGAACTAATTTAACGTCGTATGGTGAGTTTTTGTTCGTATCGTGGAGCAAAAACATGTTCGAATTTCATGTCGTATCCTGAAAATTTCGTATGCTGGGGCGTTCGTAACCTGAGGTACCACTGTAACTTCAATAATGTCCTCTTAGTGAGCTGGAGTAGAGATCCAATTTTATTTGACAAGGCACCTGCAACATCTCTAGAATAAGCTTCACTATAATGTGGTGAAAGCATTCGAGAAGAGTTGCCTCAATCACCGACAAAGGCCTTCGTGACTGCTTTTATCTAGTTCTAGATAGGATCACTTCTGTTTGTGGATAACAGTGATTTAGTTTAAGGAATATAACTACATTTTTATAAAATAACTCAATTTTTTTTGCAGAAATATAAAAGCCACATCCAAGTTCAAGTACTCCTGCTTGCCAAAGCGCAACATTGTTTTCTTGAAGACACACAAATGCGCGAGTTCTACGGTGCAGAATATGATACTGCGATATGCCTCAAGGCATAACTTGACGATCATGCTACCCGTATTCAGTAAAAGTCCCTATTTATCCAGATTAGAATTATTCTCTAGAAAAGCGTTGGCAATCAGCCATGCTCCCTGGAAGATTTTGGGATATAATGTCATCTGTCATCACGTCAGATTTAATAAAGTAGAAATGGAGAAGGTGATGCCACCGGATACCATCTACTTTTCTATTATAAGAGAGCCCGCATCTCTGTTCGAGTCTCTTTACGAATATAACAACTTAGCTCAATTTTATAACTTGACATTTAAAGAATATATCAAATCTATAAGAAAGCAACAAAAAGGACTTTATGAGAGGGCCGGAGGAAATTTGGGACCAAACCAGATGCTGTACGACTTTGGAATGGATCCGAGAGACATGCTTTCTAAAGAAAAGGTTTCACATTATGTAAATAAGCTTAGCAAACAGTTCGATTACATTATGATAGCGGAACATTTCGATGAGTCGCTGATCATCTTAAAAAATCTGTTGTGTTGGGATTTCAACGATGTCCTGACCCTAAATAAAAATGTACGACTCAATGAATTCAAACACGAAATGAGCCAAGAAGAAATTACTCTTCTGCAAAAACACAACTGGGGCGATCAAATCCTATATAAAACATTCCTACAGAAGCATAACGCACTGGTTAACAGAATTGGAGCAAAGAAAATAGAAAAAGAAGTTTACAAATTGCAGAAAATGAGAAAGAAACTATTAAAAGAATGCATAAGAGAATCCACTGTGGCGAAAAACATCAGTAAAGTTTGGAGTGGCAAGATATTGGGATTTCGAACGAACCCCAAAAACAAGGATCGGACCTGCCGGGATGTCGTAAAATCCGAAAGGGAACTGACGAACGAACTCAGGCAGAAACAGTTTGCCAGCAGCTTCCGTTACGGATCGTCGTCCAAAAATAATACCGTCGTTAAAGAGTTTAAAGAGGCTATGACAAAATGGTTACACATACAGAGACTGAAGGACAAAGACAAAATCATTTTATAATCGAAATGGTTAATTATAATTTATATTTCATATTGAAATTAAAATTATGAAAATACAGTAAAGCATCGATTATCCGAATACCGATCAACCAAAACATCGATGAACTGAAAGGGTTCCAGTTGGCAAATTCAAATTTCCAGTAGAGCTGTGGCGTTGCAGTACTCTTCCCCTCCCTGCCAAACTGAACTGTAGGCCTAGTTTACATTATGTAAGGTATGTATTTGTAAGACATGTGATACAAATTATATACAGTACAGTTGTGTTTAATATATTTTTTGTAAATGATCAGTTATCCGAACAACACCAGTCCCGAATTGTTTCGGATAAGCGATGCTCTCCTGTATTTTATAATATATGGATTTATACATTTTAGTGTAAATTTAACTTTACATGTTACACTTTGAATTCAATTGAAACAATTTCTTCTACTTACAAAAGAATGTAAAATGTAAGAATTTTTGAATGTTTTAATATATTTTTAATGGAAATTAAGTGCAAGTGCTTACTACTACTACTACTGTATGTAAATGTTTACAATTGTTCTAAATCTGATTTCAATTAAGTGTTAATTACATGCAAGTATATACTAATTAAATATAGTTGTCATGATTATCAGAAATAACAATGTAACAATAGACAGAAGTCAGCAATGCTTCATGTGCAATTTCAGTTAACTGCAGCAAAGCACTGTATTACACCATGTTACAGGCTTTAGATTGGGGTTGCAATCACTAAGGTGACGATTCTGTAGCTTCTGACCGAATAAGCATCAAAATATTCTCCATTTCACAATTTTCAACAGAAGTTTATCTCAGATAATAAAATCCTAAACACAAAGGAACACAAATGCTACCATAGAAAATCCTCATTACGTTTTCATACGGATGCAGCCACAAATTGCTTTCATAACCGACACACGGCCGCAGAAGAACGTTTTCCGAGAACTGTTCTTTCAGATTGTACGGAAACAAATAATAAATAAATAAATCCTCAAGGATAATTTAGATTTATATATTACCATATGCCTCTTCGGCATCCACTCAAAACAATTCTTCCTAATGTTCTGACACTACTTGAATGAAAAAATTATTTTCTTAATCACTTTTCACTTATAGATCTTGCTTATAATAATTGCTTGTTCTTTATAAGTTGTACATGAGCGCGTCGACTTCAATTCACTATTCTTTTATCACCAAGCAGAACTCACATTGGCAACTACTTGAGTGTAAACATATTCATATTATAACAGCATTAATGTAGTTATTCTTGTTTGCTTATATTGTTAACTCATGTAATTCATTCTTAAATACTAGAATCGAGCATTTAATTTCTACAAATAATTTCTTAATATTAACAGTAAAGGTCAGTTCGTACTTTGTAGGATTAAAACGAGAAGTGTTTTTCCATTCTCATAAGCGTTCATACATCAAAACAATGGTTAAGATGTATTTTAAAGTGTTTAGAAAGAAGAATGTGTGCTTTGAATGAATACCGGAAGAAAAATTCAGAAAGTTAAGATTGTTCTGAAGTACATTTTCAATATTTTATTCAAGCTTCAAGTTAATATTTGGTATTTGGGTAATTTTTTATCCATAATACAAGTATTGTGTATAAAGATATTAATTAACGACACAGTTGTGGGTTAGGAAATATTACCTTCTAACATACTTGTACATCAGGAGAGGCAGGTGTTATGCAACGTCTCTTATTAAATTTAATAAGAAATGGTACCTAATGCCTGCATCTGGTGACAAATTATTTAAAAACTAATTAAAAATAAATGAGGAGAAGTAACACAATTTAATCCTGTAATCATTTGGCATATTATTAATATGTTGGGCTTTGAGATGTTTGTATAAGTTCTGGATTAACGATACTTTAAAATCTTAATGCAACAGAGAGAACAAGAGGTAACATTTATCTTAAGTTATTTTTATTATAAAGTTTCAATAATAAACATATAAAAAAAGAAAAACTTTTCTATAAGAAGTCAAGAAAATATGATTTGTTTCATTAACAATACTTTTGTTATTTCTCGAAGTGGAAGGTTGCATTTAACTGAGCAATTTCAGATCGTGTTAAAGAGTTTGGACGGAATGTTCATAAAGAAGTGCACTGCTTAAGGCATAAATATGACATCTATCGATTTACAGTTAGAAATAAAAATATTGTATAAAAAAAAAACACATATAAACAAAATATCCCTAAAATATCTACACCACAATATAAAATAACTTTCTCTATTAAAAAATAACAACATACGTACGACACGTTTTTACCGATCAAAAGTTCCAAAACAAAAGATTTGTTTTGAGGAAAAGTGACTGTGTTATTATAGAGATTCTTTAAATGGAATGTCCATTTCTAGTCCGTCTCTTCTAAGTTTAGAGGGAATCATTACCCGAATGAATTGTTCGATGACATGTTTTGTTTCATGATCACAGCATGACTTTGAAAAAGTATTTTTCGATACTAAATCTGCGTCTATTATGCATTCTTCGCATAAACCTAAACAAAAAATATTAATTATTTTCAATAAATCTAAAATAAATATTTATTTATTAAAAATTAACTTTTTAGAAGTATTGAAATAAAGAGATATGCATGTTTATTGTAAATCTTTTTGTATTGTATGCATAGAGCAGTGATTCTCAACCATTGTGCCGCGAGATTTTTGAAGTGTGCTGCCACTGCAAATGTCCATACACAAGCCATGTCAGACAAGTAGTTTAATCATTTCTACCTTCCTAGGGCGCGTTTAGAAATTGTAACTAGTGTTACCAGTAACTGCCAGTAGTTACTAAGAAGTTTAGAAAATGTGATCTAAATAAACAACTGCATTTAAAAATCACTGTTATGACATCACCAGTTGTCCTGCGGTACTTACCTAAGTAACCACGTGTGCCGCCAAATTTTTAAATTATTAAAAGTGTACAGTGACGAAAAAAAGGTTGAGAATCACTGGTATAGAGTATCAAAAATCATGCAAATAAACCAAAATTAGAAGTTCGCAAATAGTTTGTGAATTATTTGAGGGTTGCTCACAAGCATAATGTCTTCACTAAAATCTCTGCATGCTTGAAAATGGCTAGGAATTCTGCTGATTGATATGAGTTTCAGAAGAAACTCTGATGTACCATCTTGAAAGTGAACTTGCTACCAGTTTGAGAGCTGTTCTCGAGTTTTTTGCAGACACATATCTATGCAGGTTCGTAAAACTGTTTGTGCACCATATTAGAATGGCTCTGTATATGGCTTTGCTGTGTCTAAGTTCTGCTCTCATTTGATCACTCAATAAGATAAAAATGTATTATTTTAAGTCATTTTAACGTATTATTTTTAAATGTATTATGTATTTTTATACATATTTCAATATTTCAACACTTATGATATTTTCTAATAAATTCTAACTTACCAAAACTATGAGTTAATTATAAAATATTTGGTCAAAACGATTGTAAACAAGATAAAAAATTCTAAATTTGGCCTTTCTGCTCCTGCTCTTCTGCCTAAATAAGACTGTGCTATTCCATCAGCTAAAGATAGGAAAAAATATTAATTAAATTATTAAAAAGTATTCATATTTGGATTATTTATCAAATATTTCTACTCACCAACATAAAATTCCCATGGCGGTGAAGACATTTTCCCATCGCCACCCAAACTAAATGCCAAAACTCTCAATTTATAAGTTTTTCCGGAAACGAGATTTGGAACAACGGTTTCTAAATCTTCCCCATCTAAATATCTCACAACTTCTTTGGCGGTCGTTAGATCTCTATCGGCCTCCCAGTAACGAACCTATAAAAAATGAGAAAATAAAAAGTTGATAGAAGACCTCTAACTACTTAATGCAGTAATTAAATTGTAAAAAAATTTGCTTTATATGTATTTATTTTTTGTAGAGAACACATATACAACATTAAATGTTGTATTTGAAGTCTTCAAAGTATGCAGTTATCTAGCTTACATATACAGGGTCTTCCAAAACAAATGCTACTATTTTGAATTATTTCAATTATTATCCAAGAATGTCATTACACAATGTACATTAAAATGTCAGAAAACTGTCCAAGTTTCACATTTGCCTGTCACAATTCATCAGTGTATATACCAGGGGTGGCCAACCTGCGGCTCGCGAGCCACATGCGGCTCTTTGAAGGATTATTTGTGACTCTCTATAAATGTACTGTACCCGAGTTCCCTTTTCATTTTTGTGTTATTATATTTAAAAAAATTATTATCGTCCGTATGTGTTTCAAATGTCTTTTAAATTACTAACAACAAATATGAAAGACTAAGTGCAACGTTGTAACAAATTTCATTTCTATTCAAGTTAAGAATGATATGACTCATCGAAAACTGCGCGAACGAACATAAACAGTGGCGTAATCGTCCGTTATCGACCGACTCCAGACCGATTTTGAATTTGTAAACTGTCATTGCAATGAACAGTTGACATTGTGCTCTGGAGGAAACAAGTTGTATCACTCTTGCTACGGATATATATTGTAATTGGAATTTTTTGCATATCTTTAATTGCGGCTCGCGAAAAATTTCAATTTTGAAAAATGGCTCGGACTATCAAGGAGCTTGGCCACCCCTGGTATATACTGTACCTTGCATAGTAAAGTATGCATCAATACTCAAATTCTTCCTATGCTCACTGTGGAATATCCATCATCTCTCCTCCCACGGTAGCCACAATTCTATGGCTTCTGCAGATTACTTATGTTGTATGACAACGAGCATTTCTGACTTTGCAAACTGCCTTCTCTGTTGCAAAGGCATTTTGCATGTTTTCATTTCTTCCTAGAGGTAGTAGACAATGAGACATTTGAATGCAGATGGGAGGATAAATCTTGGAAGATCAACTGGTATGTCACCTACTTCTTAAATAATAATTAACATAATTACAGTAATTTAATGTGGTAGCATTCTTTATGGATGGAAAACCCTGTATATATACACATGTCGGAGTAAAAATAAACTATAAATTTTTAGCATAACTTTGTATACAACAGACGCATACATTTGTTATCTTCAAATTAGGCTCCTTCTATAATGAAATACTTGTCAGCATCTACACTTCCACTCTGCTGCTTGTCTGCTTATTGGATTCTGCAATTATTCAATCTCTCTTTCAAATTAGTAAGCACAGAAAAGCCCTCATCACATTATGAGCCTTATATTGTTTACCAGAAATATGTGAGAACCTCATTCTCTATCAGAACAATGTTATATATACAATGTATATATAATACTGTTCTGATGTATAATGTTTAAGTTTATAAAAAAGAAATTGTATAAGTAGGCTGCATGGGAGCCACAGTAAAGTTCACGAAATGCAGTTTGATGCTACCTGAATTTTGGGTTTGTTTATTAGACAGATATAGAAGTAATGCTCAATACATAAATTCTAATGTATAAACATTAGTATTTAATATTGGGTGTTAATATCTTATCTAAATAAAAATAAGTATATACTCCAATTTTTATCAAATTGCAACAGAATGGACTGAAAAAGTTAATAATGTCAAGTTGTTTTTAAATGCAATGAATTAAAATACAATTTCAATTCATTTCTAAAATTTTTCTGGACATTTCAACCCAATCTTCATTAAACTTTTTGTAAAGATGTGTACAAAACACTCGGATGAAGCACATTTTAAACGATTAAACATTTACTACCTATGTTCTTAATTACTTTGGTTCTTACCTTATATCCCATAATCGGTTCTTCTTCCGTAGAGGTGAGAATACCTCTCCACTTAACAGCTACCACGGTAGGAGAAACTGCTTTGACTTCAACATTTGTAGGAGGTCTTAAAGGCGCTGAAATTATTGAAGATCTTAAACATGCCATTAATACAAAACTATTATTAAATAAATATTTGCAAAGTTTACCAGCTTTGTACGTTCGAGCCAAAAACTTTTCGCTTTCTATTCCGCTACCTGCATCATTATAAGCCATGACGGCCACCCAGTACTCTGTATTCGGCTGTAATCCTACGATGAGACCCCAAGGAGTCATGCCACGGTTCAATAATATTAAAGAATCTGTTTCGGGATTATCATCCTTCTTCCAGTATTTAATCTAAAATTTAATTATTTTTGTTAATTAAGTTAGACTTAAAAAAAAATGCTAATAAATTAATAGGTTTTTTTACTCTGTGTCCCGAAAGTTTTCCTCTTATTTTTTCTCTAGTTAAATCGAGTGGTTCCCAAGAAACATTAAGTGCAGTAGAGTTAAATGGCAATGCTTTGACTTGAGATGGCTGAACTTGAGGCACTGTAAAAAATGTTTTGATTAAATAATAATTTCTCTAAAGGAAAATATTTGATAAATTTTAATTCTCACTTTTCTCGGCAGAAAATATGACAACTTCATCACTAATTGGTCCCGGTCCGACATCATTAATGGCTTGTACTCTTACTGTATATTCCAAATAATAATTTTCTTCCCCGACATTCACAGTATACATTCCAATATTTCCATATTGTTTTAAGTCTTTCTTGTAGTACTCAACATTTTCTTCTAATTTTTTATAATATATTTTATACCAAATATTTGGAGCATTCCAGTCTTTAGGTGGAATAGGCTAAAAAATTTTTAAATTACATAAATTTATAATCATTTGGGAACATGTAAAAATCTGATAATTCATTACTTACATCCCAAGTAATTGTAAGACTTCCGACTTTTCCTCCTCCTCCTCCGACATTAAGAGGTGCGACGTAAGGTATGTCGTTAGCGGTGTTATATGCCGGACTTTCTTTGCTCGGAGATCCCTGCCCAAATTCATTCATGGCTGACACACGGAAATGATATGTACTCCACGGTGACAGAACACCAATGAGTTGCAGCTTTCGTCTACCGTTTTCTCTGTTTACTAGCGTTCTGTCTATCGACACGTCTGAAAATAAAGCCAATAATTTGTTTAAAAACTCATAATTACAATATAATAAATGAATATTTATGGCAAATAATATTAAAGCAAAATGCTCACTCGTCAAAACGACCCAAGTTTTATTGTGTTCAGTATAACCTTCGACAATGTATCTATAAATGCGACGTCCGTTATCAGCACCATCGCTCCAGTGAACGACTCCGGATGTATTATTCAATTCTTCAGCTAATACTGCACCAGGTGCACCAGGTGGACCTACAAATACCATTATATAGTGACTGCCATTACGAAACCGCTAAACTTCAATGGTCTACTCACCGATAACAATTAACTCCGTCGAGGTGTTTATACGACCGACCGAAGTTTTAACGATGCAAGTGTAAGCACCGGCCTCTGCAAAACTGATGTTATGGATGTTCAAATAACCTAAATTTTCACCCTAAAATCAAATTAGCAGAAACTACGATTTAATATCAGTTTATATTGAAAAAAGTATGATGAATTTTCTATGATAGCTTATTAAAAAAATAAAATTTTTTACACACCACGGAATACTGTTGCTGTTTCAAAAAGTCAATTCTTAAACCATTTTGGAGCCAAACGTAAGCAACATCTAATAACAGATTCGTACGAGCTTCGCATTTAAGAGTCAAATCACTGTTTACGACTGCCGCCAACTTGGAAGTGGGGGATTCTCGTAATGATGGAAAAGCTGCATATAATAATAAGCATAAAATCCAATTAAATAAAACTACAAAATATCAACCATGAAGCCAGATAACCTGCCGAATTATCGAGCTATGATTATGCTAAGTTAATAATTAGATACAAATTAATTTGTATAAAGGTAGGCAGTTAAGCTGCCATTTTGTGATAATTTTAATAATTACAATAAACTTAACTTAATAAATGAACAACCTAATCATAACCCGATAATTCGGCAGATTATTTGTCTTTAATCAAACATCGGTTTATTGAACTGTTGTTTATATATAAAATACTATAAAGCTTAAACAAAAGTATACCAAAAAATTAACATTTTATAATACTTTTTGTATTCTTGTAGCAGACCTATCAATACAAGTAAAAGGTAAACTCGGTTATAACAAGCATTAGGGGACCAGGAAGATTTCCTTGTTACATCTGTGAAGAGCAGTGATGTAACTAGGGAGAGAATGGGTGGCCACTTCTGGCACAAACACGTAGGGAGCGCCCAAGTTTTGGCAAAATTTGTAGTAACACCACCAATAACTAATGAAATCTATCTTTTAATTTTTAATTTTAAATAAGTTGATTCAAAAAAATGTGTAATTACATTATACTGTATTTTTATTAATAGTATGTACAAAGCTAAAAATTTACAATTGCTTCGAAGATTTCACTTTCATATTTCTCAAATTCCCTCTTAAAGTACTCAATACATTGAAAGTCTTGGTATTTACTTCATTTCCTTCAAAAAACCTGAATAATGTAGCCATTGCCACAATTGTCAGTGTTGTTTTGGTTCTATCTTGTTTATCATATCATTCATCATCACTGTTGTCTTTATTCGGCACAGCTTCCATGACATAACTCTCAGTAGGAATATTACTTGTTAACAAATTGTCATAGACTTGTAAAAGTTCATCAATGCCATTATTAAAATCATTAATGTTATTGTATTGCAATCATTTGGATAAAGGTATGTCACTTTCTTCGTTTTCATCATCATCAGTCATTGAAATTTCAACTATTATCAACTATTATCAACTAATAATCAAAACTTTTTTTTTCTTTTTGAATAGTTCCTTATTCCAATCACTTAAGTACTGCCAAAAAATATCTGAAGTCATCTAGGCTTTTTTGCTCACAATATAATCTACAGGAAGATTCTTTACATCCTTTAAACATCTTTTATTTTATTGGTTCTTGTCATATTTGCACAAACAAGCACGGTCAAGTGATTCTTTGATTTTTTTCCACCATCTTTTCCCCCTTTTAATTTAAACATGTAGTTGATCATCAGATTACAAAAAAAATCCCATTTCATCGATATTGTGGATATCTTCATCGTTAAAATCTTTCCTCATTTCTGCCCAAACATGGTCAATCCATTCGTTTGCAATTACTGGATAGGTAATGGAGAATCTGCACTAACTTTTGAAAGAATGATGATGTTATGTCGGTTTTTGAATGGATCCATTGTTGCATACAAAATCATTGCATGTAAATTGTCTAGCAAGTTTTCCTGCTTGAGCCTTCAAGATTGGTCATCTATTGAAAATCCAGCACTTCTTTGTGTACTAAACAGCGAAATAGTGCATTGTCGATGTTTGCATGCTCACACTTTTTAAATTTTTTGTTTTGGTTATATTTTTCTCTAGCACCAATAGGTAGACATCTTTCTTTTTCCATAATGTCAATATAGTAGAACCCCTCTAGTCCGCCCTTGGTTAGTCCGTCACTCTGGTTAATCTGAGTGTGGTCGGAGTCGAGAAACTTGTCCCGACTCGTTGGTGACTCAGTGTCTGTGGCATTTTTCTGTGTTCGTTACAGTAAATGTTTTACATTGTGTGTACATGTACAGTTTTGTGTGTGTTTTCAACATGTCAGGAGTGAAATGTAAACACGTTACTCTTTCATTAAAGGAAAAATTAGCAATGCTACAAAGACTGGACAAAGGAAAGATTGTTTATTTTACTTTTTTTTGATAATCCGACCTTTTTTGCGTTCCGACCATACCTCCAGTTCCAAAGGTGACGGATTAGAGGGGTTCTACTGTACTGTCGAAGAAAACTTTCCATACACTTTGACATTTTTAGTACCATGTTCTAACTCATAAATAATTTTTATTTTTTCAAATGCAGAAAGATATTTTCTTTTATTTATGGACATCTTTCTCATACAAGGGTTCATTTCTAACTAGAGTATATGATAATTTTACAATCGTGGTGATGATTAGGTAAATTGGCAGAATAGTGTCAGAAGGTAGTCAAGAAAGAGGGAGATGGTCTCCAAGAAAAGAGTTAAGTAATAATTAGGCCTGTAATTCATGCAGGTTGTAAAACTAATTATCCAGTGGTCTTAAAACTAACTAAACCTTTCAGTTTTATCTCTTCTAAGAATTTGGTGCTGCATTTCCTACTACTAGGCAATCCTACAAACTATGCAAAGTTTGTAGGAAAGTTTGCATAGTTACTAAAAATTTGCTCATTGTATCCATGAAGTATGCTCATTATAACCATGAGAAAACATATGGAAACATGCGTAAATTAAAATTGTTATGGTATTTTGCACTTTATAACCAAGAACTTGTTACATTCGTGTTTGTTATAACTGAGTTTGACTTAGTTTGAAGCATATTGAAGCATGACTCACAAATTGAACCGTGATCAAATTGCATAATTTGGTCTAAAGAAAGACAATTAGGTCATCATCTTTGCTAGGATTTATGATTAGAAATTAATTTTATAGTTAATTAATTTAATATTTTGGAAGGAGAGCTCAGCCTGAAATGGGACTACTAGTATTACTGTGCAGATGCAGCTAATGTAACTAGTAATTCAGATATAAATCACATTCTGAGCCAATCTTTTCTTCCATAATATTAATTAATTTATTCATTAAATGCCTACATTTAGGCCAAATTATATTATTTGATCATTTAATAATTCATTTATTTGTGGCCTGAATATAATCCAGCTTGTAATTTAATTAAATTTATTTGTAAAAATGTAAAATACGAGAAAAACGAACAAAGAATGAGATAAAAAAATTGATGGTGTTCAATTTTATCTACTTTTTATAATATTATATCATTTAAATTACTTGCTTAATAATTATATCAATACTTACAAAGAACTATTAAGTTTCCACTGCTTCGTGCATTTCCATGTGAATTCTTTGCAATACAAGTGTACATTCCTTCATCTAAAAGACTCACAGAGCCAATATAAAGATAACCATTATCTAGAATTTGGTATCTTCCGCTAGTTAATATTTGATTGTCGCGCCTCCATTCAAAGGTGGGAAAAGGTGCAGCTTCAGGACGACATGGAATCGTAAAATTCCCACCCTCGGCTGCATACATTTCAGTTTCTAGTGGATATTTTTCGAATGACGGAGCAAGCGCTAGGAAAAAAATACATCCATTAATATCTAAGCACAACAAAGATAAAATAAATAAATAAAATAACTATGTGAAACTTACATAAAATTTTTAATTGTCCTGAAGAATAGGCAGAACCCAGTTGATTCGTTGCTTTGCACTGATACATGCCTTGATCTCTTTCATATACTTGATCAATTCTTAAAATATTTTCATAAATCCTGTAACGATTCACGTCTCCCGGTTTTAAAGTTCTTATATTCAATTCTTCTCCATTTTTGTACCAGGAATATTTTACGTCTGGAATGCCAAATGCCTCGCAGGTCCAAGTTAACGACGAGCTTGCATCCATTATTTTATCATCCAAGTACACAGTAAATGAAGGATAAGCTACAAAAAAATGAAACATAACAATATATATTACATATATTAGAATAATTAATATTTTATAATAAAAATTATATTACCTTGTATCCTTAATGGCGTCGATTTTCTGATGGATTCTACATAGTTGTAAGCCGTACAGATATAATCGCCCATATCTTCGACTTTTATTGCCGGAATTTTGAGAACACGATTGTAATTCTCCAGCCGGGCACCTTCTGGCAATCGATTCGTAGACCCTGTTCTGGTCCAATTATAAGAAGGTACTGGACTATAAATGTGAAATTTTTATATTAGTAGGAACAAACTATTAAATTCATCATAAATACACAAAAAAATACTAGACTGTCAATATTCTAATGTAGAAGCAGACTTAAGACAATGTGTTATATACTTATAGTACAACATATTTTTGTCTGTACTAAAATTACATCTGTTATACTAATTTAAATGCAATTGTGGCACTCTAAGTTAAATCCATAACAACACTCAGCCAGCTAACGGCACTCCCATGTTAGCTAGCTGAGTGCCATTGTGGAGTTGTACTTAGGCCATCGGCATAGGAGTCATCCCCACCATGATTAACTGAGTAAGGTTATATCTAAATTTAAATACATCTGGAAGCAAAGGCTTGCTCGGGATCCAGGTGGTGCAACTGGCAAGCACACCGCACGGCAAGCAAAGGTTGCAGGTTTAAGCCCCAGCCCACGTCAATTCTTTTCTTCCAGACAATTCCAAATTATTTAATAAATTATTAATTTAGTTAAGAGATGGCACCTAATGTCTACCTCTAGTAGCAAATTACTTAATATTAATCATTAAATTAATGGAGATATAGTCCAATTATTTAAGGAGCTCATTTGGTTATGTTTATATATACATATCAGGCTTCGCAATGTTTGATATACTAAAATAATGAATAAAATACAAACAATTTCTGATACGATTACTAAAATTTATGCGATAGCTTTTTCTTGGAAGCCACACTCAATAATACGTATTCTCAAGAGTGGCTTCCAAGAAACCTGCATAAACATACAAGGAAAAAATTCAGAAACAAGTTGCTTAACTTTCCTGGAAACTTTTGGTGGCACCACTTGTTATAATATTTTATTTTTAAAAACTTTTCATATTTTTAACTATTATAAAATGGCAAAAAGCTTCATTTTCAGGGTAGGAATGGGTTTTATAAAAAAAAAAAACTGTAAATGCTAATAACCAGTGAAATTGTCATTAAGTCTGACCCTAGTGGAGATATGACCCCATTATCTCCCCATCCCCTCGACCTTTAACCACCAAAATTTAATAGTATCAATCCCCTAACAAACAAATCTCCCTGCAAAATTTCAGAATTTTTCAACAAAAAGCTTGAGTTATTAAGCTTCAAAGAGGGTGAACAAAATTGTGTCCCCCAAATACACTAACATCTATACATAGAAAAAACTCCCCGAATTTGTTGCATTTCTCAAAATTTCAAGGTCCCGAGTCCAAAAATGTAAAAATCTAGGATGTCATTTTTTGACCGATCACCTCTGTTATATATAACATGACAGGAAAAGTAAAAAGGGAGCGAGTGATAGAACAGAAATAAATTTTTTATGTTTTTACCCTAAACAAGTTGTATCGCAATTCATATTACCAACTGTTTGACTACATTAGCATATAATATTTTGTAGGTTTGCACATTATTAAGGCACACACATTATACAAAAGTTTTGTCTTACATTAGTACATATTGAAAATCACGATATTAATTTTATTAGATGATTTTACTTAGTTTTTTTTTGACTTTACAAATCAACATTGTCATCTAAACAAGAAAACTAGCAGCAAAGAAGAAAAAGAATACAGAAAATAATGTTTCTTGAGGACAAAATTGAAGCACTTATATCATTTGCAAGGAGGAAATCAGCAGCTACGGTTGCTCGTGCTTTCACCATAAATGAATCTAACGTAAGACACATTGAAAAAATAAACACAAATTAAAAACAAGTAGCAAATGTTTTGTATAGAAACGTGTTTTTACTATCTACTAATATGTTTTCAATCGCCTAATCTTATTTTTACATATTTCTCCTTTCTATATTTGTGGCATTTTGCAGGACATAACCCTCACAAACATGAGCTTCTACTGTATTTAAATGTAATGATCTTTCCAAATTTAAATGCCTTTACTGGTTTTGTACATTCTACATATAATAAAATATTACGATAATTTTAACTTACTATCCATATGCCACACATTCCAGCCTGACATCATCTCCGACCAGGGGAGTGTCTGGAAAAGCCTTCGGAAAAGTATTGGGAAATTGCAGTTTCTGTCCGCTAGCTGTAATAAATATTGTATATAATCATATCTTTTCTATATATAACTATAATTATAGTCTCCCAATTAACCAGCACTATATATATTAACATTTCCTGTGGTCTTCCAAAAAGAATTCTCCCATTTTAAATTACTGTAATTGTGTTAATTATTATCTGAGAACATCATAAAGTACATTAAAACATTGAAAAACCACTCAAATTTTCACATTTGACTGCTACACTTTCTCAAAGCATGCACCTCACATTGCAGGGCACACATCTTCCTACTAATAACTATCATCACTTCTTCCAAGGCAGCCAAAATTCTAGAAATCCTGAAGATTACTCCCAATCCATGACAACAAATGTTTCCAAGTTTGTGCATTACCGAATGCAAAACACCTTCTCTATTGCCGAGTCAATACGAAATTATAGTGATTTTAAATGGTAGAATTCTTTTTGGAAATTCCTATACCAAAATGCTATTTCAAACCATGTTTTCATTCAATATGGCTTCTGGAACATGATTAAGTGTTGTTACTAAAACTCCAAACTATTCAACATCTGTTATTTCTCCTTTTTGTAAGTCAATACATTGTCACTATGTTGACATACTTACAATAGCTACAAAAAGGATGAATATGTCAAATAATCTGGTGTTTTAGCAACAACACTTGTGTTCAGAAAGCAAATATACAAGGTCTGTTCAAAAAGTATCGGACCTTTGGTCGGCAAAAATAAATTTATTGATTTTGAGGTACAAAACCCTAATCCCCTTCAAAGTAGTCTCCTTGGTAGTGTATACACTTCTCCCAGCGTTCCTGCCATTGCTGGAAACACTGCTGGAACGATGCGCATCTTTTGGAATGGCCATCAGCCGGTCTGTCGCATTCCGCGCGATGTCTTCTCTCAACTAAAATCGGGTTCCTTTTAGAGGCATTTTCAGCTTGAGAAATAGCCAAAGGTCACACGGAGCCATGTGGGGAGAGTATGGAGCGTGACGAACCACAGGAGTATTGTGTTTGGCGACGAAAGCCCGAATCAGATGCGCAGAATGGGCGGATGCGTTATCACGATGGAGCTGCCAAGTTTTGATCGACCACAGATCCGGTCGTTTGCGTCGAACTGTATCGGAAAGACGACGAAGGACCTCCTGGTAGTACTCCTTTGCGATGGTTTGGCCTTGTGGTGCGTACTCACGACACACCACCCCACGAGAGTCGAAAAAACTGTCAACATGACCTTTGATATTGCTGCGGACCTGCCGCGCTTTTTTTGGCCTCGAGGATCGTCCCCGAAAGCCTGCTGAATCTTGCGAATGGTTTACACTCGGGTATCGCCAAGGTTTTTGGCAAAATTTGATGTAATATCGCTGCTCACGTTGTTCAGTCATTTTTCAGCTTAGTGGAATCCGACGAGAGCGCACTACATGACCTCACTCATAGGCCGATTGCCAACGACTGACGCTTCCTGCAGGCGGGAAAAAATTCACGGCTGTGCATGACTGTCCCCTCCACAACTCCACCGAAGGAGGCCTCTTGCGCATCATTGGTTTACGCGGTAAAAAAAAAGGTCCGATACTTTTTGAACAGACCTTGTATATATATAAATTTAATGAAATATACAGAACTTACATGCGGGGCCAACTATCAGTTGGAAAAATGGTCCTGTACGCCCAGCTGGAGCTATTACACTCTGAACGGCACAAGAATAATTGGCCTGATCTGTTTTCTCCAGTGAAGAAAAGTATAAATTTCCGTCAAATGATGCAAAAACTCTCTGATCTTCTTCCACAAAATTCGGAAACTTATTTCTATTCCAATAATAATTTACACCTATAATTAAAAAAGTTTTGATAAGTTATTGTAAAAGTTTAATCAAATTTGTTACTCTGTTCGGTTCTTATTTGGTAAATTCTATATCAAATGGATGCTTTTTATCAGTGAATTAACTTTGACAAAATTTTGGCTTAAATGGAAAGTGTATAGTTAGTTATACTATCAAAATTAACATAAATTCATAAACATATATGTCAACTCCCATAAAACATAACTGAGAGTTGAAGAAGTGATTAATTCTGCAACTCTCAATTGCAGTTGCATTTTAGGCATATCAAAATTTAATTAAATTAATTAAAATTGCAAATCACTGAAGCTTTTACAGATGTCAATAGATCACATTCTTTAATTTTCATTTGGTAAATTTTGCCAATATTACTTATAGAGCTCCATAAAACAGACACAAGCCATGTTTTAATTTCTTTTTTGATCATGTTTGGTTTTTTTTTTTGTGTTCGCCAAAAAGAAGGCTTTGGATATTTCTTGTAAGCAAGAACCAGTTTGCATTCTTGCTTGTTTGTAGAAGAATATTATGAGATGTATTGATAAGTAACTCACAATGTACAGTAATACACCAAACTTATGCGATAGGTGGGACAGAGCGATAACCGCGTAAGTCGGGGTATAATTTCTCAATTTGTATAAAATCCAAGTCGGTTGTATGTAAGTTAATAAATGTTCTCGTTAATCTTATCTCGTCTTTTGATTTGTTCATTGTTACAAGAAATCACCACATAGAGTCTCTCGAGTCTCCGTAGATATAACAAATATAGAAATAAATAACACAAAATAAATTTTAGCTATGTGTCGATTCCGCATGACACGTCTGAACATGTAAGTTGAACAATAGTGTGGGGGGAATGAGTAATCGAGAGTTGCGTGGCGCTCACACAAAAGACGAATCGACGAGATTTGAAAATCGCATAACTCCAGGTTCGTGTAAGTCGAGGTATTACTGTATTCAATAAGTAATGTCAACATTTCTACTGATACAGAAAACAACTTTTCTTATCCTAACTTACATTTGTAAAAGAATTCTTAATACATTTAAAAATGCCTTTGAATCCTTTTCTAGACTGGGGCTTTAACAATTTACAACACAGTCTAGAATATTGTTATAAAATAACTAATCGTTTGCACGTGCATTTTGATTTCTCCCCTAATTTTTTCCTATTTCAACTTATTTAACTTCCAGATTCTGTATGTCCACAAAGGTTAATTCTATCAAAAAACTGACTTCATTAAGAAAAATCAATACGAGTGTAAGAAGAATAAATAAAAATTATTTAACTAATAATTAAAGAAATGAAAGAAAGTTAAAAATTTGTAAAAAAATTATAAGAAACAACACTTTAAAACACACTAAAAACAGCTTCAACCTTTCCTTGTAGGCTAATCTTCAACGCACAGACATTTTGAAACACAGAGTAGCCTACAAATAAAAGTTATAGCTGTTAGTCTTCAGTGTTCTGGATTTTAATGATGAAATCTTTTGTATTAAAATTTTAAGTAATTATGCATTTTTGATTTTGTAATGTATTAAAAAACGTTGTATAAGAGTATAAAATGAACTAAGATTACAATAAAAATGAATCAAATCTACTTTATCTTAAAAAAATTGTTATGTAAATTGCACGATTATATTAGGACAGTTCAATTATTGATTTAGAGAGCAAAATTTTCTGTTCAAAATATTAATGATTTATGGTAATAAACTTCCCGACACCCAATACATTGATACTCAACTGAACGATTGCTATTTGGTTGAGTAAAATCGTAATTATGAATTTGTATAAGAGATGGCGCCTAACGTCTACCTCTAATACCAAATTACTTAATATATAATCATTAATAATAGCAATTTTATAGCCCAATCAATTATAGCAATCATTTGGTTGAGTATTAATCAATTATTACATAAAATACGAAGCAGATTCTAAAATTGTAAAATGGATTCTTGACTAATGACGCAAATTGAATAAAATTTTAAAATTTTTCATACTTGTGTTCAAAACAGTGCTTTTAAATTGTTTCCTTTTATTGTTCCTATATAGTACATTCTATTATTAATTGTGTACTATGTAAGAACAATAAAAGAAACACCATTAAATATGTAGTTTATGACACACCTTTTAAAATACAGAGTACTTTTAATGGTATTCTATAAACTGCATATAAACCTTTTAATGTTGTTTGGTTTAATTTGAGGAAATTGTTACTCAAATATTTTATGACATTTACAACCTCGTAATGCACGTAGCAATAGCAAAATGCCTCTTCGGAAGAAAATGACAGTCGGTAACTCAAACTGGCTAAAGTTTTGATTACGATCGATTTAATTCATAACGTGTTATTGACCGATCTGATTCGCATTACACAATTTGATTATTTCGAATACAACACAGAAATGGCCTCTTGCAACAGTTAAATGCAGATACCCAATAATATTATCTACAAATGTAACACAATTCTTACAATTTTATAAGAATTATGTTAAATATTTTCAAAAAACATTAAGGATACTCACGTGGATAGACTTGAGGCGGATCGCAGGATATCGATTTTCCCCAGTTTTCTTTTCCATATTCCGCCGATCTCTTCCTGTTAAATTCCGGAATGGCTGAAATTAAATTTTTTTCGTCAAATAAACGAAACAATCATAGGAATTATCGTTGATAATTTAATTTGGAATGTAAAATAATAAATTTACTTTTATCAAAATTAAAGTGATTTTACTCAAAACTAGTTGAAGTATGCGGCGCAGCTCAGGAAAATTATACATTAAGTTAATGGTCTCATATAAAAATATCCATTAGTGGCAAGGTAAGATATGCTAGAAGTGGCAGAGTTGCAACAAATAGCCTCTCTTCAAGGTTCAAAATAAAATTTCCCAGGTCAATGAAATTTGCAACAAAAATTTTAAATCGACCTTCCCATTCTAACTCTGGTACTTTCCAATATTTTTCCAGGAAATTCTATGGCAAATGCAACAATTCATCATTCTCATAGAAATTTATTGTGTAACTCGGTCAACTAATTCTAGAGAAGATGCAACTGTTCTAAATTTTCTGTTCCATCCCTTTTGATTTTTTTTACAATAAATGTAAGACTTTTGTACAAAACTAAAGAGTAAATTTTCGAAATTCATTCCAAAAGCATAAAAATTTATAACAATTAAAACTCCAATATAGTATAATACACCAAAGACAATTTTACATCACAAAATTCTAGACCTGCCGACACTGGAAAAACGGCAATAATCATTTTGTTACATTTTATTAAACTGTTTTACCAGAAATAGTGTGGAAAATGAGACTTAATTATTACTAAGTTCCAGTTCTTCACGTAAATAAAACAGCCATAAATTCAATACTATGTATGTTTTGCTCAAACAACTGGCCAACCAATCAAATTTCATTTTACTATTATCCACTTTTGAATTTCACAGTTTGTTTCACACCCACCAGATTGCAAAGCTTCTCATTCGCATAAATGACCCAAAAAGAACCAAATGTGAATCATTTACTGTTGCAAATAATATAATTTCATCAAAGTTTATAAAATCAAATTATTTTGGAAACAAAAAGTAGCCTACAACTTTCCAAAAATATCCAAAACAAACAAAGTTTTGTAAAAACTGGTTCGGCTGTTCTCACACGATACCGAAAACAATTACGGGGACCTAAAAATGAAACTCTAAATTATCTTAATGCAAAATTATCCAGCAAATTCTGTACCAAAATAAAATACGGGTTGACCATCAATTTTCTGCCACACTTCGAGACGAAGTCTCATTTTGACTTTGCGGGCCGATCGAGATCACGGATCAATAACTTAATGATAAATCCCTGACCACTAACAATATGTTGCCTGTGCATCTAAAACACTAAAGACTGGTAGAAGTTTAAATTAAGTATATATTAAATGTATACCAGTGTCTAATTTGATCTTACGCATATCTTTTTTAGAAGTCACAGATAGGATTAAAAGTAAATAAATTGAGGTAAAAATCATAGAATGTAACAATCAAATTCTCCAATAAAATATAAAATTTTTCAATCAACTGATTAACACAGTTAATTTATATCAAGCAAATTCAAAATAGACCTACATTATATCTAAATATCTATCAAACTGTTAAATTCTTTCTAAATGTCTCATTATAACCCAAAGAATCTGGCAGTTTGGTAGATTATTAACAACACTCGCTGCCAATCAACACGATTTTGTGTCGTGTGACCATCATTATGATATGCTGACAGCACGATTTTTTATTGGTCGGATGCCAGAAGTTTCTAGTAAATTGTCCACATGTTATTTTTTGGATTTCACTTATTACTACCCAGAAGCATAAGAAACACTTTAAAGATTAGCCTATATTTAATTGCTCAGTTTCTTAATTAAATGTATATAATTATAGTAATTTTTATTATTTACATCCTTGTGTAGGTGGTGACAACTCAATTTCATGTCATCGTAAATAATTCCATATTGTAGTCTATTTTTTTTAATCAAATATGGCAACTCAAAGTTTCTTATGTGACAACCTAATTGCAAATTCTTAGAGAAGTCTCCAGGACAGGCCTCAGTGGCCCTACACCATGTCTTCTCATTCCCCCAGATCATGCCTCTAAACTTTTGTTTTTCTTTTATAGGGCTATATAAAGGACGGGAAATATGAAAAAAATTACTAACATTGAAGAATTGTTAACACACTGGATACTAGAGGCAGTGATTTCAGTCTCCACAGATCATGTCATTTGTTGCCTTTACGTAGACCAAGGGCCACCTAAAAGCAATGAATGACTGATGATCTGGCACCCCTCTGTGCAAAGAACGGCAAGAGCAATCTACAACCTGTGGCTATTAGCTAAATAATCTATCTTTAAATCTGATCAAAATTTTCCTGTTTCTACATATTAGTCTAAGAAGTTTTAACAAATATTAACTTACTTCCAAAATCCAAAGACACAATTTGACTAATTATGGTACCAAATTTATTCGTGGCAGAGCAATAATATTTTCCTTTGTCGGTAGACTGATCCGGATCGAGAATCATCAGAATTCCATCGGTCTGTGTATATCGATAATCAGAGAGGGGGTCAATTTTTTTACTGACCATTTCATCGTGATGATATTCTACCTATATAGAGTTTAAAATTTATATATTAAACAAAGATTACTTAAATATGACATTTAAATCTTGTTTCAAAGGCATATAACACACCCCGAAACTATTACAAATTATTATATCAAAGCATGTCATTACTGTTTTACATTTCTGTGTACTGTATATATTGTCTACTTGGGCCTTGTTTACTAATAGAACTTATTATAGTGGTGAAGAAGGCCCAAGTAGACAATACATACACAAAAATGATTCATTTTTATATTTTCAATATGATTGAATAATTGGAACAACTTATAACTGAATTATTTTGGAAATATTCAACAAACTTAAACTATTAATTTGTACATCAAAACAAATTTAATTTAGAAATTTAAAGTATCAAAACCCTCCTTTCTACTCACTTTCATTATTATTATTATTTTTTTAATATAAATCAGTGACGAATACAAGAGGAGGGTAGGGCTCCATTTCCTCCCCATCAACACAAAAACTAATTAAAATTTATTTATTCAAGCTTAGTAATGCCATTATAAAAACATTTATGATGCCAGATATGATTTCATGGACATCCGCAATATTAATAGTCACACAAGCATTTAAAACACTCTTATTAATTATTTAAATACTCTATTTTTTATTTTCAAGTCAGATTCTCTTTTGTGCACTTCTGAATCTGCCACTGGTATGTTTTTTATTTACTAAATTTACAGACACTTCTGTAGCGCTAATTCGTATGTAATTACCTTACAATACGGTATCAGGCTACAGACAAAATAATTCAAAAACAATTTTAATTCCGTATGTTACATAGTAACCAACCATCACAACAACACTACTGGTGTGATAATTCAATAAAATAACTATGTAATTACCGAAAAAACCAGCAAAAATTTACTTCAAAACAAACATTTTCTAATGTCTTCAACGGTCATCATCAGGTTCGATTCCAAGAGTTCGAAAATTGAATCTTGAAGTTATGCGCATGCCCGATGTAGAGCTGTAACAAAATTAGTCCCGTAACTGGTTTCCTGTTTCAAAAAATTCCGATGTTTATATAAAATATGTAGACACATGAAGTATATCTATTATATGTCAAAATACACCCTTCGTGCTGTCGCCAACGAGTCTGTTTGCTTGAAATTGATGGCTGTTCCTGTTCATTTCGAAGTAAATTTTTGCTGGTTTTTTCGGTAATTACGTAGTTATTTTATTGTATGTTACATAGGTTACGATGCTACACTACCGGGTGAACATAGAATCAATACACATGTGCAATTGGAGAAGTTTGAACCCAAAAGTGAGGTCATAGTGTCAAGTTACCAGGTCCATTAAGTCCAGAGTTCCTCCTGGTAGCAACTTTTGGATTTATGACTAAACCTGTCACCACAACTTCTATCCAAAATTAAATACAAAACACAATAACGAGTTTCGAGTCAAAAATAATTTTGGAATAAGCTTGATTGAATAAATAATTTTCCTAATATAGTATACATGAACCTATTCCAATGGGAAAATATTAAAATACTTTACAAATATAATTTATTACATTTACAGTGTTATTAAGATAATTATATTATAGAAGAAATACAAAAATTAAACTTACCTGATACCAAATGTAAGTAGGCGGTGGATAACCCTTGGCGACGCACCTCAATGTGGCCACGTTATCTCTATCACTTTGAGCAAATATTACAGATTTGGGTTCTTCGATAAAATACGGACCCCTTGGCACTTTCTCTTCGTCGGTGACTAATACACCGTAACCTATAATGTTTAATTGATCAATTAATCAGCAAACAAAGACATGTTTAATCGGCTTTGCCATTCACATTTACTCTCTTTTATAAGCGAGCTCAACTCACAACAGAGTCAACTGGTATGGGTGAGGGATAGGGAACAAAAGCCTAATCCTTACTACCCTTATAATATTCGTTATTCAAAAATTTTACAAGCTATGCCATAAGGCAAATGGTAGCTAATCCCCCATTTTGAAAAACCCATCAAATAAAAAAACTAAAATAAATACAGCTAAACAATAGCATTATATATTATTTTTTATAATTTAACTTATATATTTTTTATAGTTCAGGTGCTAAATTTTTGACTTTAACAACAGATTTTTGGTAATTATAATACATTAATTTTTAATTTAGAATTTCTTCTCTTATTAATTTTAGTAATTAATAAAGTTCAATATTAACCGATGAATTCGTCAGTACAGCAACCAATGTACAGTACATTGCACTCGTCTGGCCATAAATAAAGCAAACTCCGATGAAGCAATACAGCCAACTCCACAGTTACATTATTAATACTATTTTTACTACTTGTCTATATTAACCCAAAGTTATTTTGTTAAAATAAGCCTCCAAATGTCATTATAGCACTGTTTGCTTTTGCCATCTTGTTAGGCTGCTGGACGTTCCCTAAAAGCTTATTAAACTATTCACCAGTACATTGGTTGTGGCCAAGACTGATGCATACTAGAATGTATCCAACGTTAAAACTTTTACAGACGAAAATGTGGTCAAAGTAGCACAATCTTTTTTTGTAAGAGAGATAAGTGGAGACTGCACTGTGCTTTATCAGCATATTTAGTGAAAGGTAAATTACAGAACTCATTTAATTAATAAAACAATACATTTTCAACAGATCTGTAATAACATTTTCTGTTTGTAGTGGCTGCCAATCCCCAAACAATCAAATCTTCATAAACTATTGACTAGAAGTTTGCAAAGAACAATGATTGTACAACTGTCTTCTTGTAAGTACAATAAATTAATATTTAGAAATTCACAAAACACTTACTGATATCTCTCTCCATAAGAATTATATTATCAAGGTCTTCTAAAGGAATTTCACAAATATAAGGTAATTCTTCTTGTGGAAGGACTCTGCTCAATCCCCATTTGTTTGCAGAAGTAGAATAACTGAAACGTAATTCTTATATTATACTAAATGCAAACTAAATAGTTTTTATAACTTAAATAAATATTAATTAAATCTTTCCATTAAGCAACATTTAAGTTATATTAATTAGGAACAATATGATTATTTTAACTTTAAATGTATTTTGTCTCTAATTTCACATAAATTGCAGTCTGATTATTTAATGATATAATGATATTTGGAGTTTTAAAACTACAAAAACATGTAGTAATATACAAAATAAAACAAATGAAAATTTATGTATATAACTGTTTAAATTCTTTTCTGTAATTAATAATTATGCTAATTAAGAATAAAATAATTCTTATTAATATGAATTCAACACCAACTTTCTGGTGTTCTTGTTTGTAACAAAACGGTGGTCTTGTTGTTACAATGTAATATTATTTTGTAGAATTAATTTTTAGTTTTGTTTATAATTAGCATAGAAACATACATATTTTCACATAAACAAATTTACAACACATCTTACTTACTTATAAACCACGCGTCTTCCATAACCCAATTCATTTAAAGGATTCAAAAGTAAATCGATGTTGCTAAATTTAGTATTATCACCTTCCCAAATCCAAGAATTGTCGTCATCGCTAATGCCACTCGTGTACCATCTGAAAGAATTTTTTAAAACAATTTTAATTGTATTATCATCAAATAAATTTAGTTATAAACAATTAGATAAAAATAACCTGTAGTGCTGGGGATCATGTTCCTTTAGCCAGCTCGAAATGAATTCGTGCTCCATGAAAGAATTCACAGACACCAGGTCGGAATTGTAAGTTCGGCACTTGGATCGAGCGGACTCGAAAGCATTCAGGGGCGAACGTATGAATTTGTAACAAGACTCTCTGTGCGAAACCCATTCTTTCGGACAATCTTTACAAAAAGCTGAAATATATATTTACGTTACTTTTAAATTTAATTCACAATGGAAGTTTTAATAATGTCTAGAATCTTACCTAATGAAGAAAAGTATAAATAACAGAGTGAAAAAATTAAGAATCCATTAATAGGCATCTGTAAAAAAAAATTAAATTATTACATAATTAAATTAAAAATATTTAACTAAATCATCATAAAATTTTCTTCTTTTATATGATAGTTTTGGCATTATTCGTGTGATTTGGGCTTTGAAAGAGGGTAGCAAGTAAACCAAAAGAAAAGGAAACTGTAGGATTTCCCTTTAAGAATTTAAGGAAATCCTGTAGGCAAATCTTGCATGGTAGTCTGCTACAGAACAATCTAGTAGAAACTGCAACAATGAGCCTAATGAACTACTGCAAAACACCCTAGACTTGTTAAGGAAACATAAAACAATGAAGCAAGACTTAAATTTAAAAACAGAATTGAATATTCTATATTCTGTAGATTGGTTAGGAAGTAAGAAAACATAGGGTACACAGTATTAAGCAGATCAAAGAGACAATAGAAAATATAAACATGAAGACACTTAGAAAAGCATTTTCGACTGTAAAGGCTTACATAATAGCAATTATGGAGAAAGACAAAACCTCAACTTATGTTATAGGATGTTTAGTGGTTAGAGTGTGGGAATTCTATTAGGAACTATACTGCAATTGGAATGTAATAGGCGAATTAAACCTACACCAAATACATATTTTGAGAGAAATTGTAAACCCATTGAAGTTCAGCAGACAATTAGATCGACAAAACTGGGTAAACTGGCAGTAATGACAGTATTGGCACAGATAAAGTCCTAATAGTTGAAAATGTACTCTTTGAACTTAGCACAAAAGCAGACATATTAGTAGATCAGTAAAATTCAAATCACCCAAACGATACAAAAACACTGAAAAAAATACACCTGCAATTCTTCTATACAAGAAAGTAGACAAGTATAACATTGGAAATTACAAGCCAATTAGTCTGCTTCCCATCTTCTATAAAAGTTTTACCAAGATAAAGATCATAGCAAGCTGAGCTGCTATCAATCTACAGAATAGGATGGATTCAGTAGTGTCTATTCTGCATAAAATTGCTTAAACTTGAGACTGGAGTGTTGTTTTTTTTCTTACTGACACCGATTTCTCCTTAAACTGCTGATATTGGCTCCACAGCCATGCATACACTCGCTATGGCAATTTACAAGAAGACACCCAAATTCCAAAAACCACCAATCTCAGCTCTTGTTGAAAAAGCATTCAACTCAGTAAAACAAAAACTTTACATACTGTGTCATTTCTCAGGTCATTAGTCACGTCTACATTGAAATTTTAAGTAACATATTGTATTTGTTGCCAAGATATCTGAATTTCAGGAAATGGTCATTAATTTGAACAATGACAACAGATTGGAAACCCAAAAATTATCAGGCATGCTAAAGTTTCAGGTACTGTACATCGCACTAATCTAGAAAGAATGAACAGTTAAATTTGTCTTGATCATTTAATCATCATAGATGGAGATATAATGGGGGAAATTAATTGCAGGCTCAGTTAAGTTAGAAAGCATTATCAAGAATGAGGGATATATTTAAGACTTATCATCTGCCTAAAGCAGTGTTTTTTAACTTTTTGCCAATATTGGTACCCCCGACTTGATATATTTGTTTATGGCATCTTTATTAATGTAGAGTTAATGTGCTTTTAGTAATACATATAAGAAGTGTTACGGCGCTGCTCAACACTCTATTTTGTGCGCGGAGGCTAACCAGTGGCCAAGTGGATGTAAACCAATAATTTGTTGCAAATTTGCACCTTGCCGACAGACTGAACTCGTGGAGTTTTCTAGGTTTTTTGCATGTCCGACACCTATATAAAATCTAGTTTCCCCATAGAAAATCCTCCTGAGTGAACTCTTGGCAGATCGCCCAAGTGTTCTGCTACTTTCTTCCATTGATCCATTTTGTGACGGCCGGTTGAAAACCACTGGCCTGAAGCATAAGGTCTTCAACATATTCTATCCATTACGACATATGGCACTGAAACATGGCTGCTGACAAACAAAATTCTCAACAAACTTCTAACAATCCAAAGAAAGATAGAACTTACTATGTTGGGAATTACTCACAGGGACAAGAAAAGCAACAAACAAACATCTACAGTAACCAACGATGTTATTTCTTAATGTTAAATATACTGGAAGAGGAGATCAGACCGGAGACCCAAGTACCGTAACTGGCAACGCATCTGCACGGTAAATGAGTTGTGGGTTCACGTCCCACTCCGGGCAGATTCTTTTCTTCCAGTTTAATCTAAAATTATTTAATTATTTTACACTTAATTGTATAAACAAGTATAAAATTGCAACGTTTAACAAAGATAAAATGCTTTGTTTCTGTTATTCATCTGTCGTTCACCCCAGTTGACAGTCCACAAAAGAAAGGTCACCTCTGTGCTTGTGAAGTTGTGGACTGCCGACTGGAGCGAATGATGGATGAATAATGGAAACAAAGCATTTTATCTTTGTTAAACGTTGCAATTTTATACTTGTTTATACAGTTAAGTGTAAAATAATTAAATGTAATACCGTCGGTCATGTTTTATATTTTATATTTAAAATTATTTAATTAAAAACTATAATTATTAAATTTAATATGAGATGGCACCTAATGCCTCCCTCTAGTGTCAAATTCATTTGTGATTTATAATTATTATTTCGAAATGACAGCCTGATGATTTACGACAGTTGTTGGTGTGTCATTGAAAAGCAACAAATGGATAAAATCAAAAATGTGGATCACAGATGTTAATAAAGTGCGGACATGGTTAAAGAATTGAAGAATCGATGGGCTCAGCATATGGCTTAGAGTTTCAAGTTCAACAGGTAAACAGGAATCATCAGAGTGATACTCGAAAGATGGAAAGAGTTTGAGAGGCAGATCTTCAGCTAAATGGAAAAATGCAATTCAAAGAATAGCTGATATCCAACAGAAAAAATTACCAAATGGAGAGGGAGAGAGAGAGAGAGAGAAGTGGAAGATCAAGAGAAGTCTTTGCCTAGCAAGCAGACCGAATTGGGGCTTATAACAATCTACTATAAAGATGATGAAAATTGTCGTAAATATACTTCCTTATGGTCTTATTGCATAATTATGCAATGAGCATCATTTAATAACTACTAGAAAGCCAGTCAATAGAAGTTATACCCCAAACAAACATTATTAAAGTGCACATCATTATATTTCTAATCAATAAACTTACACTAAAAACTACAAAATCAGCATTATTGTGCAATTAAATATATCCTGTTCAGTTCAAAAGTGAAATTCTATCCATAAAGATGACTAAACTATTTACTGCTACGTGTGTCTAATTACACTTTCTCTTGTTATATTTAACCAATTTCTAAATGATTAATATTTAAATTATTTTATATTTATTTAACAAATAAATAATAAAACAGATAATTAATCTACANCCAACGACTGACGCTTCCTGCAGGCGGGAAAAAATTCACGGCTGTGCATGACTGTCCCCTCCACAACTCCACCGAAGGAGGCCTCTCGCGCATCATTGGTTTACGCGGTAAAAAAAAAGGTCCGATACTTTTTGAACAGACCTTGTATATATATAAATTTAATGAAATATACAGAACTTACATGCGGGGCCAACTATCAGTTGGAAAAATGGTCCTGTACGCCCAGCTGGAGCTATTACACTCTGAACGGCACAAGAATAATTGGCCTGATCTGTTTTCTCCAGTGAAGAAAAGTATAAATTTCCGTCAAATGATGCAAAAACTCTCTGATCTTCTTCCACAAAATTCGGAAACTTATTTCTATTCCAATAATAATTTACACCTATAATTAAAAAAGTTTTGATAAGTTATTGTAAAAGTTTAATCAAATTTGTTACTCTGTTCGGTTCTTATTTGGTAAATTCTATATCAAATGGATGCTTTTTATCAGTGAATTAACTTTGACAAAATTTTGGCTTAAATGGAAAGTGTATAGTTAGTTATACTATCAAAATTAACATAAATTCATAAACATATATGTCAACTCCCATAAAACATAACTGAGAGTTGAAGAAGTGATTAATTCTGCAACTCTCAATTGCAGTTGCATTTTAGGCATATCAAAATTTAATTAAATTAATTAAAATTGCAAATCACTGAAGCTTTTACAGATGTCAATAGATCACATTCTTTAATTTTCATTTGGTAAATTTTGCCAATATTACTTATAGAGCTCCATAAAACAGACACAAGCCATGTTTTAATTTCTTTTTTGATCATGTTTGGTTTTTTTTTTTGTGTTCGCCAAAAAGAAGGCTTTGGATATTTCTTGTAAGCAAGAACCAGTTTGCATTCTTGCTTGTTTGTAGAAGAATATTATGAGATGTATTGATAAGTAACTCACAATGTACAGTAATACACCAAACTTATGCGATAGGTGGGACAGAGCGATAACCGCGTAAGTCGGGGTATAATTTCTCAATTTGTATAAAATCCAAGTCGGTTGTATGTAAGTTAATAAATGTTCTCGTTAATCTTATCTCGTCTTTTGATTTGTTCATTGTTACAAGAAATCACCACATAGAGTCTCTCGAGTCTCCGTAGATATAACAAATATAGAAATAAATAACACAAAATAAATTTTAGCTATGTGTCGATTCCGCATGACACGTCTGAACATGTAAGTTGAACAATAGTGTGGGGGGAATGAGTAATCGAGAGTTGCGTGGCGCTCACACAAAAGACGAATCGACGAGATTTGAAAATCGCATAACTCCAGGTTCGTGTAAGTCGAGGTATTACTGTATTCAATAAGTAATGTCAACATTTCTACTGATACAGAAAACAACTTTTCTTATCCTAACTTACATTTGTAAAAGAATTCTTAATACATTTAAAAATGCCTTTGAATCCTTTTCTAGACTGGGGCTTTAACAATTTACAACACAGTCTAGAATATTGTTATAAAATAACTAATCGTTTGCACGTGCATTTTGATTTCTCCCCTAATTTTTTCCTATTTCAACTTATTTAACTTCCAGATTCTGTATGTCCACAAAGGTTAATTCTATCAAAAAACTGACTTCATTAAGAAAAATCAATACGAGTGTAAGAAGAATAAATAAAAATTATTTAACTAATAATTAAAGAAATGAAAGAAAGTTAAAAATTTGTAAAAAAATTATAAGAAACAACACTTTAAAACACACTAAAAACAGCTTCAACCTTTCCTTGTAGGCTAATCTTCAACGCACAGACATTTTGAAACACAGAGTAGCCTACAAATAAAAGTTATAGCTGTTAGTCTTCAGTGTTCTGGATTTTAATGATGAAATCTTTTGTATTAAAATTTTAAGTAATTATGCATTTTTGATTTTGTAATGTATTAAAAAACGTTGTATAAGAGTATAAAATGAACTAAGATTACAATAAAAATGAATCAAATCTACTTTATCTTAAAAAAATTGTTATGTAAATTGCACGATTATATTAGGACAGTTCAATTATTGATTTAGAGAGCAAAATTTTCTGTTCAAAATATTAATGATTTATGGTAATAAACTTCCCGACACCCAATACATTGATACTCAACTGAACGATTGCTATTTGGTTGAGTAAAATCGTAATTATGAATTTGTATAAGAGATGGCGCCTAACGTCTACCTCTAATACCAAATTACTTAATATATAATCATTAATAATAGCAATTTTATAGCCCAATCAATTATAGCAATCATTTGGTTGAGTATTAATCAATTATTACATAAAATACGAAGCAGATTCTAAAATTGTAAAATGGATTCTTGACTAATGACGCAAATTGAATAAAATTTTAAAATTTTTCATACTTGTGTTCAAAACAGTGCTTTTAAATTGTTTCCTTTTATTGTTCCTATATAGTACATTCTATTATTAATTGTGTACTATGTAAGAACAATAAAAGAAACACCATTAAATATGTAGTTTATGACACACCTTTTAAAATACAGAGTACTTTTAATGGTATTCTATAAACTGCATATAAACCTTTTAATGTTGTTTGGTTTAATTTGAGGAAATTGTTACTCAAATATTTTATGACATTTACAACCTCGTAATGCACGTAGCAATAGCAAAATGCCTCTTCGGAAGAAAATGACAGTCGGTAACTCAAACTGGCTAAAGTTTTGATTACGATCGATTTAATTCATAACGTGTTATTGACCGATCTGATTCGCATTACACAATTTGATTATTTCGAATACAACACAGAAATGGCCTCTTGCAACAGTTAAATGCAGATACCCAATAATATTATCTACAAATGTAACACAATTCTTACAATTTTATAAGAATTATGTTAAATATTTTCAAAAAACATTAAGGATACTCACGTGGATAGACTTGAGGCGGATCGCAGGATATCGATTTTCCCCAGTTTTCTTTTCCATATTCCGCCGATCTCTTCCTGTTAAATTCCGGAATGGCTGAAATTAAATTTTTTTCGTCAAATAAACGAAACAATCATAGGAATTATCGTTGATAATTTAATTTGGAATGTAAAATAATAAATTTACTTTTATCAAAATTAAAGTGATTTTACTCAAAACTAGTTGAAGTATGCGGCGCAGCTCAGGAAAATTATACATTAAGTTAATGGTCTCATATAAAAATATCCATTAGTGGCAAGGTAAGATATGCTAGAAGTGGCAGAGTTGCAACAAATAGCCTCTCTTCAAGGTTCAAAATAAAATTTCCCAGGTCAATGAAATTTGCAACAAAAATTTTAAATCGACCTTCCCATTCTAACTCTGGTACTTTCCAATATTTTTCCAGGAAATTCTATGGCAAATGCAACAATTCATCATTCTCATAGAAATTTATTGTGTAACTCGGTCAACTAATTCTAGAGAAGATGCAACTGTTCTAAATTTTCTGTTCCATCCCTTTTGATTTTTTTTACAATAAATGTAAGACTTTTGTACAAAACTAAAGAGTAAATTTTCGAAATTCATTCCAAAAGCATAAAAATTTATAACAATTAAAACTCCAATATAGTATAATACACCAAAGACAATTTTACATCACAAAATTCTAGACCTGCCGACACTGGAAAAACGGCAATAATCATTTTGTTACATTTTATTAAACTGTTTTACCAGAAATAGTGTGGAAAATGAGACTTAATTATTACTAAGTTCCAGTTCTTCACGTAAATAAAACAGCCATAAATTCAATACTATGTATGTTTTGCTCAAACAACTGGCCAACCAATCAAATTTCATTTTACTATTATCCACTTTTGAATTTCACAGTTTGTTTCACACCCACCAGATTGCAAAGCTTCTCATTCGCATAAATGACCCAAAAAGAACCAAATGTGAATCATTTACTGTTGCAAATAATATAATTTCATCAAAGTTTATAAAATCAAATTATTTTGGAAACAAAAAGTAGCCTACAACTTTCCAAAAATATCCAAAACAAACAAAGTTTTGTAAAAACTGGTTCGGCTGTTCTCACACGATACCGAAAACAATTACGGGGACCTAAAAATGAAACTCTAAATTATCTTAATGCAAAATTATCCAGCAAATTCTGTACCAAAATAAAATACGGGTTGACCATCAATTTTCTGCCACACTTTGAGACGAAGTCTCATTTGACTTTGCAGGCCGATCGAGATCACGGATCAATAACTTAATGATAAATCCCTGACCACTAACAATATGTTGCCTGTGCATCTAAAACACTAAAGACTGGTAGAAGTTTAAATTAAGTATATATTAAATGTATACCAGTGTCTAATTTGATCTTACGCATATCTTTTTTAGAAGTCACAGATAGGATTAAAAGTAAATAAATTGAGGTAAAAATCATAGAATGTAACAATCAAATTCTCCAATAAAATATAAAATTTTTCAATCAACTGATTAACACAGTTAATTTATATCAAGCAAATTCAAAATAGACCTACATTATATCTAAATATCTATCAAACTGTTAAATTCTTTCTAAATGTCTCATTATAACCCAAAGAATCTGGCAGTTTGGTAGATTATTAACAACACTCGCTGCCAATCAACACGATTTTGTGTCGTGTGACCATCATTATGATATGCTGACAGCACGATTTTTTATTGGTCGGATGCCAGAAGTTTCTAGTAAATTGTCCACATGTTATTTTTTGGATTTCACTTATTACTACCCAGAAGCATAAGAAACACTTTAAAGATTAGCCTATATTTAATTGCTCAGTTTCTTAATTAAATGTATGTAATTATAGTAATTTTTATTATTTACATCCTTGTGTAGGTGGCGACAACTCAATTTTACGTCATCGTAAATAATTCCGTATTGTAGTCTATTTTTTTGCATCAAATATGGATACTCAAAGTTTCTTATGTGACAACCTAATTGCAAATTCTTAGAGAAGTCTCCAGGACAGGCCTCAGTGGCCCTACACCATGTCTTCTCATTCCCCAGATCATGCCTCTAAACTTTTGTTTTTCTTTTATGGGGCTATATAAAGGATGGGAAATATGAAAAAAATTACTAACATTGAAGAATTGTTAACACACTGGATACTACAGGCAGTGATTTCAGTCTCCACAGATCATGTCATTCGTTGCCTTTACGTAGACCAAGGGCCACCTAAAAGCAATGAATGACTGATGATCTGGCACCCCTCTGTGCAAAGAACGGCAAGAGCAATCTACAACCTGTGGCTATTAGCTAAATAATCTATCTTTAAATCTGATCAAAATTTTCCTGTTTCTACATATTAGTCTAAGAAGTTTTAACAAATATTAACTTACTTCCAAAATCCAAAGACACAATTTGACTAATTATGGTACCAAATTTATTCGTGGCAGAGCAATAATATTTTCCTTTGTCGGTAGACTGATCCGGATCGAGAATCATCAGAATTCCATCGGTCTGTGTATATCGATAATCAGAGAGGGGGTCAATTTTTTTACTGACCATTTCATCGTGATGATATTCTACCTATATAGAGTTGAAAATTTATATATTAAACAAAGATTACTTAAATATGACATTTAAATCTTGTTTCAAAGGCATATAACACACCCCGAAACTATTACAAATTATTATATCAAAGCATGTCATTACTGTTTTACATTTCTGTGTACTGTATATATTGTCTACTTGGGCCTTGTTTACTAATAGAACTTATTATAGTGGTGAAGAAGGCCCAAGTAGACAATACATACACAAAAATGATTCATTTTTATATTTTCAATATGATTGAATAATTGGAACAACTTATAACTGAATTATTTTGGAAATATTCAACAAACTTAAACTATTAATTTGTACATCAAAACAAATTTAATTTAGAAATTTAAAGTATCAAAACCCTTCTTTCTACTCACTTTCATTATTATTATTATTTTTTTAATATAAATCAGTGACGAATACAAGAGGAGGGTAGGGCTCCATTTCCTCCCCATCAACACAAAAACTAATTAAAATTTATTTATTCAAGCTCAGTAATGCCATTATAAAAACATTTATGATGCCAAATATGTAAATATTATAAAGTCTCTGTAAATCCGCACGAAAAATATATAAATTTTAGGTTTAGCGGTATGCCAAATATGGTTTCATGGACATCCGCAGGTCCAATACAAGCATTTGAATAGTCACACAAGCATTTGAAACATTCTTATTAATTATTTAAATACTCTATTTTTTATTTTCAAGTCAGATTCTCTTTTGTGCACTTCTGAATCTGCCACTGGTATGTTTTTTATTTACTAAATTTACAGACACTTCTGTAGCGCTAATTCGTATGTAATTACCTTACAATACAGTATCAGGCTACAGACAAAATAATTCAAAAACTATTTTAATTCTGTACGTTACATAGGTTACAATGCTACACTACCGGATGAACATAAAATCAATATACATGTGCACCTGGCGAAGTTTGAACCCAAAAGTGAGGTCATAGTGTCAGGTTACCAAGTCCATTAAGTTCAGAGTTCCTCCTCGTGGCGACTTTTGGATTTATGACCAAAGCTGTCGCCACAACTTCTATTCAAAATTAAATACAAAATACAATAACAAGTTTCTGAGTCAAAAATAATTTTGGAATAAGCTTGATTGAATGAATAATTTTCCTAATATAGCATACATGAACCTATTCCAATGGGAAAATATTAAAATACTTTACAAATATAATTTATTACATTTACAATGTTATTAAGATAATTATATTATAGAAGAAAGACAAAAATTAAACTTACCTGATACCAAATGTAAGTAGGCGGTGGATAACCCTTGGCGACGCACCTCAATGTGGCCACGTTATCTCTATCACTTTGAGCAAATATTACAGATTTGGGTTCTTCGATAAAATACGGACCCCTTGGCACTTTCTCTTCGTCGGTGACTAATACACCGTAACCTATAATGTTTAATTGATCAATTAATCAGCAAACAAAGGCATGTTTAATTGGCTTTGCCATTCACATTTACTCTCTTTTATAAGCGAGCTCAACTCACAACAGAGTCAACTGGTATGGGTGAGGGATAGGGAACAAAAGCCTAATCCTTACTACCCTTATAATATTCGTTATTCAAAAATTTTACAAGCTATGCCATAAGGCAAATGGTAGCTAATCCCCATAAATAAATAAAAAACTAAAATAAATACAGCTAAACAATAGCATTATATATTATTTTTTATAATTTAACTTATATATTTTATAGTTCAGGTGCTAAATTTTTGACTTTAACAACAGATTTTTGGTAATTACAATAAATTAATTTTTAATTTAGAATTTCTTCTCTTATTAATTTTAGTAATTAATAAAGTTCAATATTAACCGATGAATTCGTCAGTACAGCAACCAATGTACAGTACATTGCACTCGTCTGGCCATAAATAAAGCAAACTCCGATGAAGCAATACAGCCAACTCCACAGTTACATTATTAATACTATTTTTACTACTTGTCTGTATTAACCCAAAGTTATTTTGTCAAAATAAGCCTCCAAATGTCATTATAGCACTGTTTGCTTTTGCCATCTTGTTAGGCTGCTGGATGTTCCCTAAAAGCTTATTAAACTATTCGCCAGTACATTGGTTGTGGCCAAGACTGATGCATACTAGAATGTATCCAACGTTAAAACTTTTACAGACAAAAATGTGGTCAAAGTAGCACAATCTTTTTTTGTAAGAGAGATAAGTGGAGACTGCACTGTGCTTTATCAGCATATTTAGTGAAAGGTAAATTACAGAACTCATTTAATTAATAAAACAATACATTTTCAACAGATCTGTAATAACATTTTCTGTTTGTAGTGGCTGCCAATCCCCAAACAATCAAATCTTCATAAACTATTGACTAGAAGTTTGCAAAGAACAATGATTGTACAACTGTCTTCTTGTAAGTACAATAAATTAATATTTAGAAATTCACAAAACACTTACTGATATCTCTCTCCATAAGAATTATATTATCAAGGTCTTCTAAAGGAATTTCACAAATATAAGGTAATTCTTCTTGTGGAAGGACTCTGCTCAATCCCCATTTGTTTGCAGAAGTAGAATAACTGAAACGTAATTCTTATATTATACTAAATGCAAACTAAATAGTTTTTATAACTTAAATAAATATTAATTAAATCTTTCCATTAAGCAACATTTAAGTTATATTAATTAGGAACAATATGATTATTTTAACTTTAAATGTATTTTGTCTCTAATTTCACATAAATTGCAGTCTGATTATTTAATGATATAATGATATTTGGAGTTTTAAAACTACAAAAACATGTAGTAATATACAAAATAAAACAAATGAAAATTTATGTATATAACTGTTTAAATTCTTTTCTGTAATTAATAATTATGCTAATTAAGAATAAAATAATTCTTATTAATATGAATTCAACACCAACTTTCTGGTGTTCTTGTTTGTAACAAAACGGTGGTCTTGTTGTTACAATGTAATATTATTTTGTAGAATTAATTTTTAGTTTTGTTTATAATTAGCATAGAAACATACATATTTTCACATAAACAAATTTACAACACATCTTACTTACTTATAAACCACGCGTCTTCCATAACCCAATTCATTTAAAGGATTCAAAAGTAAATCGATGTTGCTAAATTTAGTATTATCACCTTCCCAAATCCAAGAATTGTCGTCATCGCTAATGCCACTCGTGTACCATCTGAAAGAATTTTTTAAAACAATTTTAATTGTATTATCATCAAATAAATTTAGTTATAAACAATTAGATAAAAATAACCTGTAGTGCTGGGGATCATGTTCCTTTAGCCAGCTCGAAATGAATTCGTGCTCCATGAAAGAATTCACAGACACCAGGTCAGAATTGTAAGTTCGGCACTTGGATCGAGCGGACTCGAAAGCATTCAGGGGCGAACGTATGAATTTGTAACAAGACTCTCTGTGCGAAACCCATTCTTTCGGACAATCTTTACAAAAAGCTGAAATATATATTTACGTTACTTTTAAATTTAATTCACAATGGAAGTTTTAATAATGTCTAGAATCTTACCTAATGAAGAAAAGTATAAATAACAGAGTGAAAAAATTAAGAATCCATTAATAGGCATCTGTAAAAAAAAATTAAATTATTACATAATTAAATTAAAAATATTTAACTAAATCATCATAAAATTTTCTTCTTTTATATGATAGTTTTGGCATTATTCGTGTGATTTGGGCTTTGAAAGAGGGTAGCAAGTAAACCAAAAGAAAAGGAAACTGTAGGATTTCCCTTTAAGAATTTAAGGAAATCCTGTAGGCAAATCTTGCATGGTAGTCTGCTACAGAACAATCTAGTAGAAACTGCAACAATGAGCCTAATGAACTACTGCAAAACACCCTAGACTTGTTAAGGAAACATAAAACAATGAAGCAAGACTTAAATTTAAAAACAGAATTGAATATTCTATATTCTGTAGATTGGTTAGGAAGTAAGAAAACATAGGGTACACAGTATTAAGCAGATCAAAGAGACAATAGAAAATATAAACATGAAGACACTTAGAAAAGCATTTTCGACTGTAAAGGCTTACATAATAGCAATTATGGAGAAAGACAAAACCTCAACTTATGTTATAGGATGTTTAGTGGTTAGAGTGTGGGAATTCTATTAGGAACTATACTGCAATTGGAATGTAATAGGCGAATTAAACCTACACCAAATACATATTTTGAGAGAAATTGTAAACCCATTGAAGTTCAGCAGACAATTAGATCGACAAAACTGGGTAAACTGGCAGTAATGACAGTATTGGCACAGATAAAGTCCTAATAGTTGAAAATGTACTCTTTGAACTTAGCACAAAAGCAGACATATTAGTAGATCAGTAAAATTCAAATCACCCAAACGATACAAAAACACTGAAAAAAATACACCTGCAATTCTTCTATACAAGAAAGTAGACAAGTATAACATTGGAAATTACAAGCCAATTAGTCTGCTTCCCATCTTCTATAAAAGTTTTACCAAGATAAAGATCATAGCAAGCTGAGCTGCTATCAATCTACAGAATAGGATGGATTCAGTAGTGTCTATTCTGCATAAAATTGCTTAAACTTGAGACTGGAGTGTTGTTTTTTTTCTTACTGACACCGATTTCTCCTTAAACTGCTGATATTGGCTCCACAGCCATGCATACACTCGCTATGGCAATTTACAAGAAGACACCCAAATTCCAAAAACCATCAATCTCAGCTCTTGTTGAAAAAGCATTCAACTCAGTAAAACAAAAACTTTACATACTGTGTCATTTCTCAGGTCATTAGTCACGTCTACATTGAAATTTTAAGTAACATATTGTATTTGTTGCCAAGATATCTGAATTTCAGGAAATGGTCATTAATTTGAACAATGACAACAGATTGGAAACCCAAAAATTATCAGGCATGCTAAAGTTTCAGGTACTGTACATCGCACTAATCTAGAAAGAATGAACAGTTAAATTTGTCTTGATCATTTAATCATCATAGATGGAGATATAATGGGGGAAATTAATTGCAGGCTCAGTTAAGTTAGAAAGCATTATCAAGAATGAGGGATATATTTAAGACTTATCATCTGCCTAAAGCAGTGTTTTTTAACTTTTTGCCAATATTGGTACCCCCGACTTGATATATTTGTTTATGGCATCTTTATTAATGTAGAGTTAATGTGCTTTTAGTAATACATATAAGAAGTGTTACGGCGCTGCTCAACACTCTATTTTGTGCGCGGAGGCTAACCAGTGGCCAAGTGGATGTAAACCAATAATTTGTTGCAAATTTGCACCTTGCCGACAGACTGAACTCGTGGAGTTTTCTAGGTTTTTTGCATGTCCGACACCTATATAAAATCTAGTTTCCCCATAGAAAATCCTCCTGAGTGAACTCTTGGCAGATCGCCCAAGTGTTCTGCTACTTTCTTCCATTGATCCATTTTGTGACGGCCGGTTGAAAACCACTGGCCTGAAGCATAAGGTCTTCAACATATTCTATCCATTACGACATATGGCACTGAAACATGGCTGCTGACAAACAAAATTCTCAACAAACTTCTAACAATCCAAAGAAAGATAGAACTTACTATGTTGGGAATTACTCACAGGGACAAGAAAAGCAACAAACAAACATCTACAGTAACCAACGATGTTATTTCTTAATGTTAAATATACTGGAAGAGGAGATCAGACCGGAGACCCAAGTACCGTAACTGGCAACGCATCTGCACGGTAAATGAGTTGTGGGTTCACGTCCCACTCCGGGCAGATTCTTTTCTTCCAGTTTAATCTAAAATTATTTAATTATTTTACACTTAATTGTATAAACAAGTATAAAATTGCAACGTTTAACAAAGATAAAATGCTTTGTTTCTGTTATTCATCTGTCGTTCACCCCAGTTGACAGTCCACAAAAGAAAGGTCACCTCTGTGCTTGTGAAGTTGTGGACTGCCGACTGGAGCGAATGATGGATGAATAATGGAAACAAAGCATTTTATCTTTGTTAAACGTTGCAATTTTATACTTGTTTATACAGTTAAGTGTAAAATAATTAAATGTAATACCGTCGGTCATGTTTTATATTTTATATTTAAAATTATTTAATTAAAAACTATAATTATTAAATTTAATATGAGATGGCACCTAATGCCTCCCTCTAGTGTCAAATTCATTTGTGATTTATAATTATTATTTCGAAATGACAGCCTGATGATTTACGACAGTTGTTGGTGTGTCATTGAAAAGCAACAAATGGATAAAATCAAAAATGTGGATCACAGATGTTAATAAAGTGCGGACATGGTTAAAGAATTGAAGAATCGATGGGCTCAGCATATGGCTTAGAGTTTCAAGTTCAACAGGTAAACAGGAATCATCAGAGTGATACTCGAAAGATGGAAAGAGTTTGAGAGGCAGATCTTCAGCTAAATGGAAAAATGCAATTCAAAGAATAGCTGATATCCAACAGAAAAAATTACCAAATGGAGAGAGAGAGAGAGAGAGAGAGAAGTGGAAGATCAAGAGAAGTCTTTGCCTAGCAAGCAGACCGAATTGGGGCTTATAACAATCTACTATAAAGATGATGAAAATTGTCGTAAATATACTTCCTTATGGTCTTATTGCATAATTATGCAATGAGCATCATTTAATAACTACTAGAAAGCCAGTCAATAGAAGTTATACCCCAAACAAACATTATTAAAGTGCACATCATTATATTTCTAATCAATAAACTTACACTAAAAACTACAAAATCAGCATTATTGTGCAATTAAATATATCCTGTTCAGTTCAAAAGTGAAATTCTATCCATAAAGATGACTAAACTATTTACTGCTACGTGTGTCTAATTACACTTTCTCTTGTTATATTTAACCAATTTCTAAATGATTAATATTTAAATTATTTTATATTTATTTAACAAATAAATAATAAAACAGATAATTAATCTACAAATGAAAAATTCTAAAGACAAGCAATAGAAATACCATATGATTAAGAAAATACAATTAATTAATTTATTATGATATTTAGACTAGAAAAGACAGTGTCATTATTTTATATTTTAATCTATACTAATATTATAAAGAGATAAAGTTTGTAAGTTTGGATGTAGGAGGTAATCTCCGAAATTACTCATCCGATTTCAAAAATTCTTTCACCGATATTTAGAATGGATCTTTAGGGTTGATATAGGACGTATATTATTCCGTTAAATATTCATATAAATTAAAAGATATCATCTAGGTAAGCGTTATATTCTTGTTGTCAGTGGTGGCAAGAGGCAAGATGCATACGTATACAAGTTAGGTAACTGCGCGACGTGGTCGGCGAGAAACGCAGTGCACACTTAAGAACTTGTATATTATATAGATGTTGAAATTCTCCCCACAGGGGGGAGAGACAAAATGAAGGCTTACCATGAAGAACTCGGCTTCTATTATACTATTTTAGATGCAGTTTTTTGCATTTTTGATTGCATTTTAATAGGGTATGTCAAGAGAATGTACACTAAGAAGGGATTTTTCAAAATTTCCTCCCGCGGGGAGTGTTATACATTTATAATAGATACATTTTGAGCCACAGTAATGTGTGATCAGGTACAGCTAGTACATTATAATTATTAAAATATAATGTTAAATGACATCAGTTAACTGCACTAGATTTTAATTTGATGTGGCAATCTAAATTTTTGCTTCTAGGAAATAATGCTAAGCAGTATCGTATGCATAAGTATCGAAATTATCGAGGTAATTATTAGAAATTAATCAACAATTAATTGATTAAACAAAAACAAACCAGAAACTATAAATGAGGTATAGTATATATCAACGGTGGGCAACCCCCGGCCCGCGAAAAGTTTCTATCCGGCCCGCGAGAGGTTTAGAAGAAATTATTAATAAATATTTTTTGATGTAATTCGTCTAGTTTAAATTGAATATTATTTTCTGAAGTGTTGCAGCAGCAGTGACAGGAAAAAATAAGGGAGTCATTTCCTTATTCAAACGAAAAATGGAAGAACAGAATTTTTCTAAATTATTTATATCTCATCGCATTATCCATCAAGAAAATCTATGTGCAAAGCTATGCAATTAGAAAATGTAATGTCTGTTGTATCGAACTACATAGTGCTGTTTTTATTGTGTTTAAAATCACTTAGATTTTACAAATAGGTGAGCCATTCACAGCCCGGCACACGCATTTGTAAAATCTAAGTGACTCATACAACATGGAATTCATATAAAACGGAATAATCAACAGTGTTATGGGGGCGACTGTAGTAATTAATTAATTATTTATTTATTTATTTCGCATTTGCAGACTAAAAATTTACAGGTCACAAGGTGTCAATTAACTACTATGGCCCGCGGAAAAAAACGTAAAATTTATTCTGGCCCATGATATAAAAAAGGTTGCCCACCCTTGGTATATATGGTACTTTCAATATCACGTAAAAAGACGAAACAACCTCATCTGATGGTAAGACATCAATAACCATAGACTATTAGTGTTTTCTAGCATCTGCAGAATTACGTAACCTGTTAAGAAAAATATCACAGATAGTTGACTTTTCTGTCCCTTATTCCTTAATGGCATGACAAACAGACTGTCAGATTGTGGCGGAACTCTTCACAAATTTTGTCGACTTATTGTTGGTAGACTTTCTTGTCACCCGTGTTTTTCCTTACAGAAAAGTGAGGAAGTTTTGAGCAGTATTTTATGCCATGCCACGATTGTGTGTTTCTCTGGCAGAACGTCCTCGTTGGTATTTTTATCAGAATTTCCTTTGCACATTTGCAGAAAATTTTAACTTGGCAAACCAGTAAGAGTAATAGTTTTTACAGTTTGTTACTTCATCATTTATTTAAACATTAAATCAAAATAAAATAAATCAAAATCAGGATTATTGTTAAACTGACATTAAGAAGTCATTAAAGAAATAACCAAACAAAACCGACAACGTATTCTCATGCTTAAGCTTTCTCATCTGTTGATCAATAGAAAAATAATGAGATCAAAGCATTGTCCTTGCGTAATAGTCCAGATTCCATACTTCTAGAGATTGGATTGCATAGTTAAATAAACCTGAAACATATTCAATGAGAAGGTAGAAACTTTGGTACTTATGGGTTAAGAGGACGGCAGTCGGAAATAGCAATCAAAGTCGCGATTTTGAATGAAAATATCAAAATAACAATAGACTAGTAAATTTAAATCTAAAAAGAAGAAAATTTACTAATAAGGTTGTAAAAATGAAAAAAAAATTAATTAGGATGATAGATATCGCCTATTTGCCGGTTAAAGTCCAGATACGTATACCGTCATGGCGACTCATCTCTGATTCCAGCAAACAAAAGGAAACAGTGGGGACGCACATTCTAACCTAACCTAACCTAACCTAACCTATTCTAATAATTTGATTGGTAATAATTATGGTAATTTATTAGAATAGGTTAGGTTAGGTTAGAACGTGCGTCCCCACTGAACTGGCGTCCTCTTAACCCATAAGTACCGAAACTTTTTCTGTTTTGGTAATGCTAAAGTTATACTTGCATTGGCTAAGTAATGTGCTATTCCTCCAGTATTATTCAAAAATGGAAAAAGTTTAAAGAATGTGTCGCATTTCGAAATTCAAATTCTGTTCTTTAGACTTTTTTTTATTTTCCAATAATACTCAACGTTTGTTTTACAGAGAAATAAAGATACCGTGTTTGTATATTTGTTTTCTCGTCCCGTTCTGCGAAGGGCTATGCCGTTAACTAGGAAGCCGACGCTTCCCGGCCATGTATTATCCTTCGCGGCTCGACTATATTAACTCGATTACGCTCTTTTAACACGTTCAAGGATATTCTGAATGGTACATTATTGAATATAAAATGATTGGCCTCCAGGCATTTGTTTATATGTAGTTGTTTACATTTGTATATTTGCAGAGAGAGAAAGTATGTTTATAAAGTGATAAAACCATGATGCCAACCTATATAGAAGCCAGTCAGAAGTGTTTAGTGGCATAAGAAAAGCACAATACACTTAAATATTGGGACAAAATACAATTATATAAAGGAGAGAAGGGTAAAGTTTAAAAGTTTCAAATTTCATCATCATTTTTAGTCAGATATTTTAAATTTTAAGAAAATCACAAGACGAAAAGGGGAGGAATTTATATTAGTACACGAGAATTCTCTAAAGGTGTTCGAATTAAATCAAAAACAGACAACTTCCTCCCTTTATTTTTAAATGTTTTAACGTAAGATCTTCGAAACAAAGTCTCCTATTTATAATCATTTATCGCAGGAAGCGATAACGGAAGCCATTGAGATAAAATTATAACTCGTTTCCTCTACTGATAAGAATTTGATTAAATTTCTTACCTTTCCTACAGACCGCCTCCACGCCCTGCTTCCACCGGAAGTTACCTGTTTGAATTTTGTCTACCAGACCAATTGTTGGCGCTGCGGTCGCTTTGAAAATAAACATCCGTCGAAAAAAGGTAAATTTAAAAAAAAAAAAAAATTAAGTGATAATATTTAACGCCAGAATAAAAACAATTTTAAAAATATTATTATAAATAATTTATTTTTAAATAATATTATATCGAGATTTTTAACAAATCGTGTCGTTTATAAACAAGGTCGGTTCGTTTGATCGTTTATATGTCAATTTGACGTCATTTTTACACTCGCCAATATTAATATAGATAAGTGACGTCATATCGGTGTTGTAAATGGTTATTAAAAGTGATATACAGTCGACCCCCCTATAACACTTGATTATTCCATTTTATACGAATTCCATGTTGTACGAGTCACTTAGATTTTACAAATACGTGTGCCGGGCTCTGAACGGCTCATGTATTTGTAAAATCTAAGTGACTCGTACAACATGGAATTCATATAAAACGGAATAATCAACGGTGTTATAGGGGGTCGACTGTAGATATGAAATTTTTTTCCTTTAAACGATAATTTTTTTATTTTCAATTATTTTTTGTCATTACCTAGCAGATTTCATTCATTTTTTTTAATGCGATATATTCTTGGACTCACAAAGACGAATACTGATAAGAGAACCTCGAGAAAACTGTACCTAGTTGTTACGTGGAAACTGTGTAAACAATTAGAACACGTCTGAGGAACAGCTACTATTACATAATGATGAAACTACAAACATGAGAGACGTGTAAATAAGTTGTATTATGCATGATATCATGAAAAGGATATGCGAATTAAACTGATTTTGTTTCAGATCCCTACGTGGTTAACCTGTTCTTTGATGTATTTGAAGTGTCGAAGTCTAACAAGCAGCGCCGTAACTAGCCTTTTATGCGCCCAGTGCGAGCTTCTGTAACTATGCCCCCAAAAGTATGACCCAAAGCTTGGCGCAGGTCATTTCTGCGCCCTGTGCCTGGGCACCGCTGGCACCGCCCTAGTTCCGGCACTGCTATATTTAATTGCATGCAACACGATCGAAAAGATAAATTACGCGACTATGCTGTATGTGGATTTGTAAATGAAAATCTATTATTGATTTTTTCAGATAAATGGCATGCTGGCCTCAAACATACATTTTCCTTTCCGTAACTGTGAAATGTGTACTTCATTGAACAAAACATTTAATTATTTGTTTACAGAGAACGAATGTGAGAACAAAATGTTTCTTTATCGGTTGCTAAGTATCTACAGTGTTATTGGGGGGTCTACTGTATATTATCTATAATATACAAGACACTTTGCAAGTTATGTATTCAACGAATGTAAATCACTCGAACTTAGTTATTAATACGACGAAACGTAAGAGTTTAGTTAATTAGGCTGCAATTTCAAAACATTTAGACCTATAAATTCCCACTGTTGCCTGTCTGTCTGTCCTCTCTTAATATCAAGAACGGTGTTAGATAGATGAAAGTAGAAAACACATGCGAAACGTTTAGGGGCAGGAGGTCCCGATTAACTATATTCGAATTTCTGGTCTGGACCGGAAATAACATTATTTCAATTCAAACGCTTTTTCCTGAAAACAGTTTTAATAAATGATCGGCATGATTCTACTATTAAAGGAAAGGTATAATGTACAGGGGCAAGATACTATTAATTTGAGGCGGAGAGCATATTTTTTTATCTTAAATATTTTAAAAAAATTTCTACAGAGTCGCCCTCGATCCTAACACTACATCGTCATTCATAATGTTTTCTCTTACTTGATTTCATTGTGTCTTGTCTCCTCGTATGTTGTATAACGAAATCAGCCTGTGACTTAGCACTTAAAGAGGCTAACAACAACTGGTTCAATGCGTTATCTCATGATAAGTCCTTTTCTTTAGCAGCTAACACTATGAATGCTCATTTAAAGACATTTTTTTTTATTTGAAAAAAGCATCACGTTCTTCCACTGTACGTAAAATTGTGTAAAGAGCAATAAATCGCTTAGTGTTGTTGACTAATTTGTTAACACATGAATGCAGTTTTCGCACTTTCTCGGCTACTCCAAGTAATCCACATATTATACGTATCATATTTGGGAAGCAGGGTTGGGAAATTGTTTTTTTTTTTTTTTTTTTAAACAGTTTTATATTACAGTATGGAAGATTTTTCTCACCCTCATGGGTCATGAAAGCACGTGACACGCGACTTTTATCACTAAGAAAAGAGTTCCTGACAGTGCATGCCAGTTCATGCAGTTTACAATAACAGCTAATGAATTATAATATTACTTGGATGGAAAAAAGACATTATTAATATCATTATTACTTGTTAAGTGAAAAATGAATGCAGGAAGAAGGCTTGATAATATCTGGAAGCAGTACAAACTAATTTCTGGAAATCCAGGAAGACCGACATGCAGGGTGCAATGCAAAATATGTAAAGAAATGGCTGGATTAGTCGATCGTATGAAAAAAACATGTTGAAGATAAGCACCTACAGGATGATTTACAGGAATTGCAACAACTCTATAGCTTGCTATAAAGTTTTACATGGGTCATAACTCAATTTGTATAGGATACAATTACATATCGTAATCACAGTAGTGTGTAAATTATTAGACTCAAGCGTAAGGTGTATCATTTTATATTGCACTGGTCTGACTTGAGTCTAATAATTTTCACACGTCTGTATATAGTAGTAATTTTAAAAGTTTACACATAATTAGTAATTAATTTATTGTTTCTATATTTATTATTTAGATTGGAAGGAGCCTGAGTCTGAGACCAGTGGGAAGCGCTCTTCCATCAGTGGCATTGCATCACAAAGCAAAGTGAAATTGCAACGCATTTATTCATTTACTGTGTAAACGTCAACTAATCAAAAAACACAATTGGATGTCGGCGATGACGTTTTACCGTATTTTACGAGTTACTTTTAGCGTGTTTATACGAATACGATCGCAATTTTTTCGCCGTTTTATACGAATCCGTATTATATGAACCCGTGTTATAGGGGGTTTACTGTACCTAATAATACTTATATATGGTATATGTTATACAGGAAATCCTCGTCAGTTCGAAATTCAAGGACCTCGAATTATCGAATTAGCCGATATTTACTATGATTTTAGTGAAACACAGGAAGCCATAGTTTAGGTTAGCTGTAAACATGGATCTTGTTTCTTAATTTTGCACCACCATTTTTACTTCCCTGGCTGTTATATACAACTGAGAGAAAGTATAGCTATGGGTCAAAAAAATGACTTCTGGACTTTTACATTTTTGGACTCTGGGGGCTTAGAAACGTCCAGAAATGTAAGAAAAAGTTGGTTTTCTATTTTGTATGTATGGACGTTTGTGTGTATAGGGAAGGCACGATTTCGTTCACTCAATTTCAAAGCGGAATAACTGCATTTTGTTTCAAAAATTGCTGAAATTTCGTAAAGAGGTTTGTGTATTAGGGGGATCGAAGCTATTAAATTTTGATGGTTAAAGGTAAAGTGGGTCGGTCAAGTGTCGTATCTAGTGTTATAATCGATTCAAATATTTGTTTACTTTCAATTCCTCAAACTCAGCATTGCAAACTAAGGTAAGATTGTACTTTAATGTGAATTTCGAGCGATTTTAACTCTTAATTTAAGGGAGCAATGAGGGCAATCGCCCCTAAGAAGCAAAATAACGATCGAGTTTAAATTTAGTGGATAAACTTACCTAATAAAGGTTCCGCACGAAACATTACGATAACGGTTTCCAAATTTATTGTAATTACAGTACTAATGTAAGAGAAGGACACTAAATTTCCCGGAATAGATTTTTCTGATAAATGTTTCATAGGAGTTTACATAACGGGAACATTTTCTAACATATGAACATACAGGACGAAATGCGACAGTTGCACCAATCCTTTGATTCTGAGGTCAAAAATACGCTTAAAATCTATAAACAATTTTCAAATCCCATAGAAAAAAATCCAGAAATTTTTCAGATTGTGTTGGCCCTAGCCCTCACTGCCCGGTCGAACCAACGAAGAATCTGAAAAATCCCTCTTAGTGTACAAAGCTCTACCTTCGCGAATTACCATTGAATCTTGTTTTAAATATGAATCAGTACTGTGGGTCCCGATACGAGTGCCAATAGGTTAGAGCAGTGGTCCCCAACCCCCGGGCCGCGGACCGGTACCGGTCCGTGGATCAAATGGTACCGGGCCGCCCAAAGAACATTAAATTATTTCCATTTTATTTACTATGGTGTATTTGTCTCCGGTTTGTGCGACTTTTAATAGACGACGGAACAGCGGAATAAACTGAACACAAGAAACACACTTCGAGTGTCATTGTCTTCTATTACCCCCAGATGGAACTGTCTCGTTGCAAAGAAACAAGCTCAGGGTTCTCATTGATTTAGCTTTCTAGTGAGTTAAAATGTTAAATCACATTATATTCATTTTTTGGTGTAATTGTATTTTATTTTGAAGGCACGTTTAAATACAGTTAAATTAAAATTATTAAATTAAATCAATGTAAAATATGAACAATCAACGTCCCCCCTCAGTGGGCCGCGGTAAAGTTATCAAACGTTGACCGGTCCGCGGCGATAAAAAGGTTGGGGACCGCTGGGTTAGAGTACCAAGTCAGGTTAGTTATATCAAGCGGTCTTGGTTATAGGAACTGATTAGGTGTTATGCAGGACAATACTAGCGCAATCTATAACTTAGCTCTGCAGCTTGTGAAATCCCTCGTACCAGAATGAGCGAGGAAAAACAATAAAATACAACCAACTCGATAATTCAAATACCAAACGAACAGCCGAATTACTTTATTCGGCTATTCACGCTAAATAATTACTAAGCAATTTGGCAGGAACGGGCTTTCGAGTCGTCATCTCGTTAAATATAATAAATTATTTATTCATAATTCACATATGGCAACCCGGATGCCTTTCTCTTGCCGAATTGCTTAGTAATTATTGTCTTAATAGCCCAATAATGGAATCCGGCTGTTCGTTTTGTACTTGAGGAAATAAATTTTCTATGTTCTGGAGTTATCAAGAAAATAAGGTAATGAAGAATCTGAACATTCTTGGTGGTGTAAAACAGTGTAATCTTGGTGTATTGGGATGAATAATGCGTTGGATAGCGAGATAAACGTTTATTAAAGATCCACATAATTGCCCATTGTTTGCACTTTCAACTGTTTAAAATTATATTTCACTTGAGCTTACTTTGGTCTTATGAAGAAAGAAAATTTTACTGGTTTTCTAATATGCAGAGCGTTTCTTAAGGAAGAATCCGTATTGAAGACCCGTAATGTCTATAAAACAAAATGGCGTCTAGCCTTAAAATATTACTAGGAGAATCAGACCAGTATCAAGTCAATAATCACGGAACTTCACGCTCTCGTAACGTGCCCTTGAGACGTGATGGCCATTTGCATCGAAGCGAGTTTGCAAAATTTTTAACACTATCGATCGGACACACCCAAAAGCCATTTCCCGTGTAACATCCGTGATTTATGGACCACGTGTATGATTAAAAGTGTCTTATCGATCCTCATCAGCAAAATGTTAACAATGGCGACCGGGTCACGACATTTGTTTTATTTTTATCACTAATTATTTAGAATTAAGGGTGGCAACGTGTCATTACCGACCGAACTACGATTGTGTTCGACCTAACTGGTTTCGTCACACTACGAATAAAAGAATTTACGATTTCTCTAGCGTTACAGTTCTCGTGACGCGTGTTGCAAACTAGACCAGAGCATCGATCAGATACTATTTATTGATGAAAACAGAATATACGCCCATCTTATCTACATAAATAAATATTTATAATACAATTTGGCATCGTAACATCGAAGGCTAACAATTCTTTTTTGTTTTTTCTGTAATTAATTTACACAAATAATCTCGAAATAAAAATGGCGGATAAAGGAATAAAATGTTACATAGTTTAATAAGAATTGGATGGACACTTATGGGAGGATATGAGTGGTGTGACGTAACTTGATCACGTGTGAAGGCATCTCAAGAAATTTTTGTATATTCTGAAATAGTAGACCGGACGTTCCCGGTTTTTTAAAAAGATTTATAGAAGAGAAAAAGTTTTTAAAATTACTTTTTAAGAATTAAGAACGGATGAGGGGATGGTTTTAGAAAAGTTTGTGCCATTTGTAAGCATGTTGATATGCCATTAACATCCTGTACATCTCGGTTAAAGTAACGTTACCAACTAAAACGTACACATATAAAAGTATATTCCACGTTTATAAGTTAATGCGGAATAACGAGACCCAATTGTTTGGTACAGTAGGTAGGCATCGTTACCGCATATAACAACATACATAACATAGACAGTTTTTGGGGGTTTCTTTCTTGTAGAATAGTTCACACCATTGTGTAACTACCTAACAGAAGAAACGTCAAGATCAAAGCAGCACTGGCCAGCATAACGGAGACTCCATTGCAACCATCGTAATCACAGGTGAGGATACATCCTTTCAGTTCATTGTTTTCGAATTTAAACACACCACACTGATTGTCCATGTTCTCTAGCGTGCACATACGTATCACTAGCTCGATATTATCTTCTGCTGTTAAGAAAAAGGTAGAAAAAAAGTTCGTTATTGCCGATGGCATTTTTCGTTCTACATCAAACGTACACTATGTTAAGGATACTTCACAGAAACGCGCAAAACTTGAATGAAAACGATAACTAAGATAGGGGAAATCGAGGTTTTACCTGTTTTTCCGATGATTTTGATACAGAAATTTGCTGGAAACTGCCCAATGTGGCCTTCTTTAGGCATCATGCAATCCTCCGTGTAGGTACTCATGGCCGGGTTGAACGGATCGTGACAATTGATATTGGTCCCGTTCCACGAACTGCACGTGTAACAGTTGATGCAGTCACCTGAGAACACGTAAAAATCTGTCAGTTGCAACAATGTGAAACGGTTTATTGCGTATTGCAAAATCAAAACGATACGTACAATACCGGATGCTCGCCATGATCAAAATGGAGAGGATAAGGAACACTTCCATTGATGTAAAGTTAGTCGATCTGAAAATTAGCGTGAAACTTTTTTGATTAGGAGATTTTAAACACTCTAAATTAGTTATTTATAGGATTTAGCGGGTTTGCAACGCGCGGGAACAAAGAAGAATGGTGTCATTGTATCGATTATAACATTGATATTAAATTACATTTATCGACGTTCAATATTTACTCTATTATAAAACTTTTTTTTAATTTAACAAATCGATAAATTTGAAGAAACTTATTTTAGGAGACAGAAAGACGAGATGTCTGTCCTCAAAACTCAAAGAATAAATGAATAGTTAGTTACGATGATAGAAGATCGCAAGAACAGACCAAACTTCAACACACACACAAAAAAAAAAGAAAATAACGAAATTTTGGCACACTCTCTTAGAACAATATTTATTGTCTTGACAGATTATAAATAAAGATTATAAACGAGGAAAAATATTACATTTCGCATCCAAACTCCGGAGAAGCCAACGCAAAGCCTCGGTCCTCCCCTCGATTATTTAGATTTTACATGGCTATTTGCGAAACAAATATCATGTTAAACAAATGCACTAAAATTTGGTTTGTTCGGCGTGACGTCATTGTAAGGGTCCTTTAATGACGTCTCGTCAAACTTCTAAACACGATTCTATGTCCGTGCAATAACATCATGTTCATATAAAGCTTTGGCCTTCTATAATAAAGTTCTGAAGATTGCGACACCCTTTTATTTAGTGACAACACTTAATTTATCAAATATATCGGGTGATGGTAATTAAGGTACTTCTATTTAACGCTTCCTATAAAGGTACTTAGCAGCCCAAATGCAACCAAAGATATCGCTTCGAACATACGGAAGACATTTTCATAATAAAAATTAGTACCAAAACTCACCACTACGACGCTGCAAGCAATATTAAATTTATACAAGACATTCAAGTTACACAGAGCAGAGGATACTGCTCAATTCTAAAGCCGACGAACAGCGTTGAAAGGTAACTGCAGTGTGTGCAACTGTACGTGCAGTGTGACTGTCTTCCAAGGCTGCTGGCTGCATACAGTGCCAAAAGTACCGTAACGGCAAGTTTCGGTACTAAATATCTTTTACAAAAAACGTCCCGAAATGTCCCATTTGCATTTAAACCGCTAAATATTACTCCAGGCGGCATCGAGTAGGGGTAACTTTATTGTCTGGCGTAAGAGCAGCGAAAGCCCATTTGTGGACGACAGCGTTACAATGCAATTTAATTGAATTCATGGCTTTATTCGGTGATTTCATTTGTGAAAAATTTTATACAAAGCGAAATTTCGAAAAAATCCAAAGAAAAAAAGAGCGACGACCCCGTTCGAAACGGGCAATTGGCCAACGATTTTTTAAAATGAAATTTCATATTTACGGTTCTATAACTTAAAAAAAAACCCCTGTAAATGTCAGAAGCAAAATCGTAAATCTTTTGGAGAATACACAAGAGGGGAAAATCATCATAATTTATTATTATACTACGCCAATATTTTTTTTTCTAGAATTTCAATATTATCACACGTCGGTAGTTCAGCAGGGGGAAAAATATACATTAATTAAATGCTCAATATTTAAACCGTTGAGAAATTATTCATGATATAAGTCGATAAATTGATTTGCATAAATTTAAATAATGAAAAATCTATCTTTTATGCCGAGCATATTAAGTGCAAAAGGCCTTCCGAGTTTCATTTGCTGACATTTTATTTATGGTTTCTGGCATAAATAAATAATCAAAAATTGAATTTTTCCTGTGTTTTTGCGTTAAATTATACGGCAAAACTTAAACAATTGAATTGGTTTAATGGGATGTGGCAACGCGACGCTTGGGAGATCCGTCAGCCAAGGGGATAGGGCCTCTCTGGAGGACATTTTTGAAAAACTGGTTCCTTATTTAGTTTTACACACGTGAAGATAACGCGAAAATTCCAAGTACCAGACCGTTGGTTAGGAACGAAATCGCGACCAACTCGGTGTTCAGTGGTATTTTGCCCAAAAGGGGCAAAGTTCATCCATTCGTCACTGGTGGGCAAAATTTAAGAATTACAACCCATAATATAGTCAGATATACTCCATACAGGATCAAATTATGGATATCTAGAGTTAGATTATGAGATGCACCCATAGGGGTTTTAAACATTAAATTATGGTACATATATTACGTTAAACTATAAGGTATACGAGCTATTTGGGCTTAAACTCTGGAAATTAAGCACAAAAATAAACTGCAATTCGAGATTACGAAAATTGATTAACACCTTTCGATTCTAACCTCTATTTTTGGACGTTCCTAACAGAATTATTTGTGTAAACTTTTACTGTATTACACGGTATACCTGATATACATTAAAATTATTCAAAGCCATCACGTTCTACACGTAAACACATACAAACTCGTCCCATCTTAAACGTAACGCCGGGCGCCACTTTGTATCTTTTGGATACCTAATACGCACGAGCTCATTTGCATAAGCTTTATGCAAATTAAACTTACAGTTTCGTATTTTTTAACAGGAAAGATCCTATCAAATTCCTACAGAGTTATCGATTCCTTCTCCTTCTCCACGCTATCCCTAGAAACCATTAGAACGGATAGACAAACCCACTCTTCTTGATGATGTGGATGATTTTTCCGGACGAACGGCTCATCTTCTCCATCTTAAAACGTTACTAGACTTCAATCATTTCACGAATACACGAATAAATTAACGTTAAAGATTACATTCGATCACGAAATGACCTTTTCGTACCATTAAATATGCAAATTTCTACACGAATAACGCACGGTACACCACCCACACCCTTTTTTTGTAACGCTTCGTTGTCTAAATGTAGCGAATTTTTAAAACTACCTCCCACGAATTACGTAGTTTGTACATTTAAAAAAATCGAAATTTTTTTTAGCCTCATACACACAAAAATAGAGGATACAAATGATTTAACAATACATTACACTATAAGGAGGTAGAAAAATTCGTACCTGATGATGCAGAAAGCTCTTCTTTAGCCCTTATCTCCGTAGAAGCAACGACAGATTCTGACATCTAGAGAAGACATGTTGAGTCTGGAGAGGCTGATGATGACGACGTGACGTCATCGGGATGCGGTAGACGTTCCAAAGACGAGGAAATGAGGGAAGAGGAGGCAAAACATTTCCTTTTTATTTAATTTCCTCCAACGTTATACATTTCTACCATTAGATTGATTGATTTTTCGGTAAACTGTCAATGGAGAAACGTAGCACATGCGCACATTCCACTTCCGGTAAGCCATACACACCTGGCTGTTTCTGCCACTTAAAATGAAATTAACTGAATTAAATTAAACAAAGAAATTATTTTTACAATTAGAAAACCTCGTGCGGGCATTTTACTCAAAGACTACATTATTTTTGAATTTTGTTAAGTGTTAATTAATTAATACTTGAGAGCAAGGAAGATGCATAACTGGTTATCTGTAAATTTTTATTTCCACTAATTATAAAAATTTTTTACAATTACAATTTGTGCATTCAAGGAGCCAAATCCTGCTGCTCGTTTCAAATAATTCTTCTCGGTATTTCTCTTTCTCTTTTTTTTTTTATGTACAACACAACCTTTCACAAGATGCTTAAAGTTCACACCAATAGGATCAAAATTCTGTTTTTACAAGTATAAAATAATTAAAGATTAAAAGGAGAGGGGTCGAGACGCACTCTGGATGCGACGCGGCCTCGTCTCGAGCGCCCACGGAGCCCCGAGATAAAAAACGGTGTCTAAAATGCTGCAAGGAGTCGGACTCTACCCTCCGTTAGAGCTTGGAACAATCTTAATACAAGACAGAAACTGTGGAAATACTATGCTTGCAAACAATTGAAACAAGTAAAACTAACATTTTTCTTGGTTTTTGGCACAATTTCCAAGCAAATTACATTGAAAACATCTTAAAAAAAAATTATCTATAAATGAACTTTTTGTCGTCTGTCTTTCGTGGTCTGGTTTTAAAAAAATATACAATTCGGCAACAGATTTTCTTCTTTCTTTAACCATGTATGGATATGGTGTTTAATTTAGAAAAGGATGTTACGGCAGATTCATGCTTTAAATTTTCTCTAAATATACATACCAGAGTGTATTATGTATTTACAGAACACTTACCACAAAAATGATTCTCTTTCTTTCTGCATTTATGATAAAAACAGAATTTCATATAACAAAACATGCACAGGTGACTTTCAAAGAAACTCCGAGAGTAACAGGAAAATCATCTAAAATGATAATAAAATTTATAACTATTCTAAACTGTACATCTTTATCTACCAATTCACATAAATATATGTACCAAATGATCCTGACATACACCATAAATTACATCCACATGTACAGATATTTAAACTGAATTTTTTAACATACATATCATAGAAGTGTTTGTACAAAATACAATTTGGATTAAACTCAAAAGTTGCATATATATATCTTAGAAGTTTGCATCGAAAACCACGACTGAAAACTAATGCAAATTTCTTGATTACACTACCGAAATGTTCAAAGACAAAAGAGTTATTTGAGGAGACGACCGCTTCAAACAGCAATTTTGAGAAAATAAAAATTAAGTAGGATTCATTAAATCTATGTATATATAATTAAAACTGAAAGAAAAATAATTCAAATTGTTATTTTACAACATATAAAATATTGATGGAAAGTAGCCTTGCACAAAAACTCTAAGAGCATGGAGCAAAATGGGTACTTATATACAAAACACATTTCCCATTATCACCGTACAGGAATGAATTATTTTTTTAGCTGCGGGAGTTGAAGACAAATTGGATTAACAAAAACAATGGAAGAATACAGCTTTTTTTTTTGTCTATTTTAAATAATGATCTCTTTCGAACTGCAATAATTGTTTGTACAACTGTTGTGACACAAACACTAGACATTACCTACTTGTGCAAATATTCTGCATAAACATTTTGGCAGATATCTCTTAAATCTGATTATAAACTATAAATAACATTCAGTCTTGTTCCATCGGTTCTGCTTCGTCGCTCACTGTTTTCTCTTCTTTAGTCAGAGAAGCTTCGGTTTCCATTATTTCCTGTTTCTTCTGATCTTTTATCTCCTGTAAGAATTACTTGAGTTACTTATTTGGATATCAGCTTTTTGTTTTACTTCTTGCAAAATTTTAAATGCACACCTTTAAATTACAAACAATGCTACCCACTTCTAATTCATTAGTGCTGCTTGCAAACAGTTCCACGGTTTGTGGATCAACAAGATTTAAATTAGTGGTGCTGCTGATCTGTTCACTGGCAATAATTTCAGTGCTTTCCACATCTAGATCTGTTGTTTTCTCTTCCTCCTCTTCGACCGCATCGTTGGGATTGACGTTGTGAGATTCTGTGTAAACGTCAGCTGGGGGGAAAAAAACAATCTTTACAAACTCATAACATCAGTTATAATAACTTTAAAACTGAAACTAACAAGTAGGATTGTCTTCCTCAAGAATGCATTTTGTATTTTCTGGAACAATTTGAGTATCAGAAGAAGAATTAATATCTGTCTCGACTTCGGATGAAATCTCCCCACACGATGAATTTTCTGAACAAGGAACATTCTGCAAATTATTTACTGTAAAATAAACAAAAAATATGCATATTTAATGAAAAAAAGTCATTCAGTAATCTATATATTATATATACTTCTGGCTACATTAGATAAATGCCATTACTGATTCTGCTCAGCAATACAGAAAATTTAGTCCTGAATGTGAAAAAGTTGTGTGAATGAAAGATAAACTTATAGTAGTATGTAATAAATAAGAATACAAATAAAATAATAGTCTATCAGATTTTCTTCTTTCTTTAACCACGTATGGATATGGTGTTTAATTTAGAAAAGGATGTTATGTCAGATTCATGCTTTAAATTTTCTCTAAATATACATACCAGAGTGTATTATGTATTTACAGAANTTGCTTGCCCACCCCTGCTCTATTACATTATTATGTTTTAATTTGGCTACTACACTCAGTTATCAAATGGAAAAGTAATCTCAAACTTAAACAGTGTGTTAAAATTATAGTTTTTATGAGTTAAAGTGTTTCAAAGTATTTTTCTTAAAAGGATAAGTAATGTATACTAAACAAATAATGCATTTAAACACAGCAAAATCAACTTAAAAGGAGTATTTGCAACGGGCTCATTTCTTGCATTCTTAAGAGCCAAATTAACAAAAGCCATGAATCATGAGTATGTGTCAGACTGGATGTTTTCAGAATGGACTGTCATTTTGTAACAAAACGGGAACAAGTGCAACTGAATGACGTAACAGAAAACAGTAAATTTATCTCATCTTCTCTAGAAATTAATACTAAATTAACATTGTTAAACAATCTACATTTGGGTAGCAATCAGAAAATCAATAACGAATGCTTAATTTTAGATATTTCTATATAATACAAGATATTTAGATAAAAGATCCAAACTATTTGAATGACTACTAAAGTAAAGCCAATGAAGCAAATGACTAGTAAAGCCAATCTTAGTGCTCACAAGCCATATTTGAATGACGTTTGATACTTAAAAGTGTGAAAAAAAAGAAAAAAAAAACAAACCTAAAACTTTTTGGTATTGTCGACTACAAATGTGACAATTTTTGTTTAGTCTTTATTGGACATTTTATTGACATTATTGTCTTTTAAGAGAATTATTTTGTGCTGTTTTTACAGACTTAAAAAAATACAACAACTAGTCTCTCCATTGGTGGATTTCAATAATTGGCAAATGTTGCAAGGCAGCTTTCCATTAAGTCAACTGCTTTTGCCACAGAACCTGTTCTAATGAAGATGAGGTCAAAAGAAGTGATGTTTTTGTCACTTCTTTTGACCTCAAAAAGTAAAAGCCAGTTTAGTAAGAAAACTGCACATTGCAAACAGCCCTAACATAATCACTTTGAGATTTGCCCTTACCAATAACAAAAACTGAATGATAGCATTAAGCAGGGTAGGTAAATAAGACTACAATTACTGTAATAAAATTCCGGTTTTACTCTGACATAAAACAATTAAAAATTCTTTTCTTTTTTCAAACACGACGTAGTAAATCACTCAACCACTTAGCATTTTTCATCATTAACTTTTATTCAGTTGATACGTGTATAAGTGACTGCACTACATAATGTTTGAAAAAAGGAAAAAATACCGACATGGTTTCAACAATGTTAAACAATTTTATATTGTGAAGAGTTATTAATTATTAGTAATTCATTAAGCGTAACAGTGAAGTAAAAAATGCCAAACCAAATGACCATCATAATTAATCGGGCTGTTTTTTGCTACAATTAACAATTAGGAATTAAATTTGGTACTAGAGGTAGATGTTAGGCACCATCTCGTACCTCCACTTACTATGCAGTGCATTGCCCAGTTTATATGTAAAAAATGCCATCAGTTTAAACTATTATTATGATTGGTGATGTGCTTTATGTCCCTCTATTACTAAAATATAACTGAATATATGACCACTAGGTTTTATCTACCAGTAGGACTTATCACACACTTTTTGGCACATATATTTAATGTTAAAGGATAACTAAATTTGAAGATACGGTGTTATAATAATAAATCATGTTTATATAAAACAGTTTTAATTTATTTTGATTATTAATCATGATGTTTGTAATGTAACCTTCATGTATTTTAGATGCCCGTAATTTACTTCTTTTGTAATAAGAACAGTTAGAGGAGCAGATTGACTATCTGAAATACATACCATTGTTACTGTAGATATTGAGTGTTCATTGGTCTCTTTGTGATTTCTCCTACTGCCTAAATAGTGTGTGAGAAGTCCTACCAAGGGATAGAAGTGGAAAGAAGGATTTGCCTAGGTCAGGGATGGCAAACTTTTTGTGCTCATGTGCCATATAGTAAGCATACTTAACTTCAAAAAATGTTTATGCATGCCAAAGTTTTAGACTTCAAATTGATTTCTCCTTAAGTGTCACTTTGAACATGCATGCCTTGACTTTGCCACCCCTGGTTTAGGTTGAATGGCTCATGGAAAAATGAAGAACATCTTTAAAAGCAAAATTTCCATAAGTTTGGAAAAAGTAACCTTCAACCAATGCATGCTTCTGGTGCTTACATATGGAACAGAGACTTAGAGAATGACAATGGATGAAAGTGGCTAGAGAGGGGAAATGTAGAGGGTTATGGAAAAAGCCTTTGTCCACCAAAGGACATAATATAGCTGAGAAAGAAGTCCTGCCAAGGGTCAAAGCATAGTGGTCATATATTCAATTAAACTATTATACTGAGTATGTTTGGAGCTTAAGACACAACGCTAGAATTGATAACAACTTTACATTATCAATCTTTGAGAATAAGGCTGTGTTTGAACAGGATCTTATTACATTATGTTACATCTGGCCAATCTAAAAAAGCATTATTCTTAACACCTTAAATAACATCTTCGGTAGGCCAGTTGTAATATTATTGATATTTAATGTAAGTAGAGCTCACCTAAATGCAGTTTAATAGGGTAAAAATAAAACTTAAAAATACCTACCAGTATTTTCTTCAAAATAATGCTAAATATAATAAACAAAGTTTTATAAATATGTTTTCACTTGTGTATGCTAATTCTAATAATATTAGACAGCCAATGACATACACGATTACAATAAGTGGATTCTATTGTAGATAAATAAAGAAACATTTTTATTTTACTTTCAAGTACAGTACATCTTTATAAATAAATGCAAGTAAGCAAGTAAAATGAAAATACAACTTTATAAATAGTAATGATTCAAACAACATTTTGAGAGACTTTTCTGTGACAAAAGATGTAAGATGAACACATTTATCATCATCACTATAAATAAATTACTAATATTTAAAAATTATATATAAATTTGGCCATTTTATAATTTTAAANACAACTTTATAAATAGTAATGATTCAAACAACATTTTGAGAGACTTTTCTGTGACAAAAGATGTAAGATGAACACATTTATCATCATCACTATAAATAAATTACTAATATTTAAAAATTATATATAAATTTGGCCATTTTATAATTTTAAATCCATTGATAAGATCTGCAATTATCTTGAGTAAATAAGAAATTTGCTTTTATTTCAACAAAAGTAAAAAAAACAAACCTAAAACTTTTTGGTATTGTCGACTACAAATGTGACAATNATTCTATTCGTAAAAAGAATGATGACTCTTACTTATTCTGTAATTCTAAAATAAAGTAATAATAAAAAAAAACATTAATAAGTCTTACATGATATCTCCTGTTTTTGCAATCCGTACCAAATAATCATCTAAAATAGGAGGAATTTCACTAGGCCTTTTCTTTTCGAAATCTGTAAGAAATGCATTCGATTTAATCGTTAAATTATGTTATTTATTAATATACTTTCAATAATAAAAATCAATTCCTTAAATAATATAAAAGCATTAATTACTAGACACTATTTTATAAGGGAGATTATGCATACCAATTTTTAGGGATATGTTTTATTTGATTCTTGTAGAAATGTATTAACAAACAAACAAAAATTCTGTATTAATATAAGAGACACATCATTATTCATATATAATGAAAATAGACACATCATTATTCATATATAATGAAAATAGAAAATGTAGATTAATTTCTTGTAATATTAATATAATGTAATATACAGAAATTATACTACTAGATGTAATGAAAATTTCTAATACAGTANATCATATTTTTCTGTTAAGAAATAATACAGTATAATTACAAAAATATTTCTAAATTCAAGTTTTATTTATTTCATCTTAAAGTTGCATAAATTTCAAAGTAATTATTGATGAAAAAATATGAAGGTTACTAATACAGTTGCAATATTTAGGAATTTAAAACATTTATGCAACTTCTCAAAATGTTTATTATAAGTTAACAGTTAACAAATTTAAATATGAGTATCATTTAACTAAATTATTTACAAAATTTAAATAATAAAACATTAGTTTGACGATGCAGTGTTTTTTATGTAATTTATAATTGAAAGGATCAAAAAGACAGTCCCATACTGTTAAAAATCCCTATGTTATCGTTAAATATTTAATGAGTACCTCTTACAAAATTTCTGTAAATAAATAACTAAGATATACAGTAGAACCCCTCTAGTCCACCCTCGGATAGTCCATCACTCTGGTTAATCCAACCGTGGTCAGAGTCAAGAAACTTGTCCCGACTCATCGGTGACTCACTGTCCGTGGCATTTTCCTGTGTTCGTTACAGTATATGTTTTGCATTGTGTGTACAGTACATGTACAGTTTTGTGTGTGTTTTCAACATGTCAGGAGTAAAACGTAAACACGTTACTCTTTCATTAAATGAAAAATTAGCAGAGCTACAAAAACTGGACAAAGGAGAAGATTGTTTATTTTACTTTTTTCTGATAATCCGACTTTTTTTGCGTTCCGACCATACCCCCAGTCCCAAAGATGACGGATTAGAAGGGTTCTACTGTATATTATAATTGATGCCTGAAAATCTCGTAAGATCCACTATAGATCAAGTAAGTTTTACATCATTGTTTTGTATGTTCTTGGATTATAAATGTTCTGCAAAAATCTCAAAGACATTCCACCAATAGAATTTGTAATAAGCTTGCATATAATCAGACAGTCTGCATTAATGTGGATACCTCAGCAATAATAATAATAAAATTTTAGTTCTTTTCTAAATCTTTTTCTTCTGTTGTTGAGTTTAGTCGATAGTAAATATTAGGTAATTAAATAATTATAATGAACCTTCACACACAATATTAATTTGCCTTTTGTTGCTCCTTTAAAATTTGATTTTTGACATTTATGGGGTTTCCACATGTCAACAATGATATTTTCCTTAAAAAATACCAACAGTAATAAATATAAAATCCTTCAAGCAGATATTTTTATTCAGAAGAATGTTTTATTTAACATACATAAACCATTGAAAATTTGGAAATCAATCACCGATTAAAAAAAAAAATGTCAAAGGCATGTCATCTAGATTGAAAAGTTAGAAAAACAAAAATTTTTTGACATTTTAAATATAAAAAAATTAAAAAATATGTGTTGTGGCATCTCAGATATCAAGAACTCCAAGGGTAAACAATACAGAAGTTTTCTTGTATATTCTGTGTATGTAGAATATGTTGAAATGTACTGAAAATTACATTAATAAAAATGTAATAAAAAATTAATATTTTCTTACCTGTTGAAGATGTGCATGGTTCAATTTGGTTATGCACTTTTTCTTCAATATCATCGCTGATATCAGGCGAGATGTCCATTGCACTAACGACTGGATGCCCGACGGTACTCTCCACTTCTGCAGTAATGTGATTAATGTCTTCATCATCAGAATGATCTATGTGAGAGTTGATGTCGTTATCTTGGGTCATGCTTGACACTTCCACTTCCATCGTAGCCGTAACTGTAGATGCAATGGTAGAGGCAGAAAATACGCTGGCAAAGTTGTCTAATGGAGGGTTGTCCTTGAGATTGCTGTTGAGTGCAGAATTGTCGGTGATGATGTTGGATGAATTACTGATGAGGCCATTTACAATTACTGCATTATTTCCATTATGATTAACTTCATGTATTCTAAAAATAGCATGTAATAAGAATTTTTATTACAGAATATAATTTAAATGCATTATAAATATAAAACTCAAACTCACGATGAGGATTTTGGTTCGATAGTGCTGACAACAAGAATATTCTATATTTAAATAAAAGAGGAAAAAGCAATAAACATTAAATTATGTGAAATTATTCTAAAATATTGATTATTACAATGGGCTAACCTTTTCTAATCCTCTCATGAATTTATCTGTGCGTCTGTAATGTTTTCTAGGATTTGTCACCAATTCGCAGAGTCGCTGAATTGTAAATGGTGCACTAAGAAGAAAATATTGATTAATGGCTAATTTATATGCATACATACATGTATGTGTGTACATGTGATTGAGTGAGTGTTTATGTCATATATTAAATTCAACCATAGATAACTAAATGGGAATCATCTCACAAAATATCGTATTTCATGAGATGCAAATATAAGTGATATTCGGTATAAATTAACTTTTTGAAGAATTATGTAATGTAACTTTTATTTCATTTCAGAAATCATTATGCTTAATTTAGATTTGTATAAGTCTTAACTTCTATATTATCAAATCAGTTATAAAAATTTATTGTAGTTAAAACGAAAATATTCTTCTTCAGTTTTTTTTGTAATTTCTGTGTTATTGATTAAAATTCAAACATTATTATTATTTTATTTCAATTGTGTAATTATATAATAGAAGTTTTACTTGTATGTTTATACTCCATCATTTTTTAATACAGGATGCGCACAAATTATTGTATTATTTTGTTACACCATAGGCAAGTTGGAAATATCCCATAGATCAGTGGTTCCCAAATTTTTTTGATTCTCTGCACCCTTGATAAATCCAGATTTTCCCAAGATGCGCTATGTCAAATTCTAACAAGTACAATTTGGGAAATAGCCAATATTTTTTTAAATTGAAGAGTTAGGACATTAAGTGAAAAATAAATAAAACATGTATTTAAGATAAGAAAAAAAAAAAAAGTAATTGAATAAATTCAATTAATTATAAGTAATGGAATGGATGAGCCTGTTGATCACTGCATATTTTCTCAAATTTTGAAATCAAACTAATGGACACAGTCACCCTCATTTCCTTCCCCATATTGTTTTTCATACAATGCTTAGTTTTTTATTGCAGTGACAAACTCAATTTCGCACAAATAAGAAGCCGCAAAGGGAATTAAGATTCTTTGAGCTTTACTACTCAGAAGGGATATTCATCTTTTACTGATATCCAAAATTCAGTTAATTCCATCTGCTAAATTTTGTTTACAACTCAATAAGATTCTCTTCTTCTTCAGCAGTAAATTCAGATGGAGCTCTGGCATTAAATGGATCTTCAATCCATGAAAATTTATCGATATTATCATTATTTTGAAAATATTTCTCAATCCAGGTGATAAGCTGTGATAAATGTTCTTCAGAAATAGATTTTATACCTCGAGAGGAATCAACTTAGGGGTTAAAAAAGTATTGCAACGAGGGGAAACATTCTTTTCCTCCATCTTCATTTATTTTTCTTTTCCATAGTTTTAATTTTTTTTTTTTTATAAAAGCTGAAATTTTCTCAATCAGCTTTAAAAACTGTGTTGCTTTCCTGCAGGGAGAGATTCAGAGTGTTCATCTTTTCAAAACTATCATATAAGTATGCTAGTTTTACCAAAAAAATCTTCATTCACAAAATTTACTTGTGGTCTTTCTCTTTTAAGAAAAATATAAATTTTCTGTAGCAGTTGAAATGTATGAGACAAAACATTACCATACTTTTTTTATTCACATCAAATAATGTTTCTGACTATTGTTTAGTGCTAGAGATAGGCCTATTATTCTTATTATAGCTTTCAGCATGCCCAAATATTTTGGTCAGGATTCGCCCCCAGTTATTACTATCTATAAACCGTACATTGCAAATCAAGTGAGCATCATTATTATTATATGTGTCCTCATCCAGCTGCAACAGAAATTTCTTCCCTTATATTTTTTCAATTAACTGAACGGAATATAGCACAAGGACCTCCAATGTTCAATTGGAGGTCCTTGTGCTGTATTCTGCAACTGATGGTGTTATTGGACAAAGGCACTTTTGAAGGCTTCTTTCCAGCAGACTCACCGATCATAATGTTCACCATATCTACAGCAGCTGGTAGAATGAGTTTTTCTGCGATGGTATGAGGCTTTTTACATTTTGTGATTCTATGTGCCACCTTTATTACTGAGTTAATGATTTGCACCAGGTCTGCTAAATGTTGCATCTTATCATCTTGAATTGAAATTAGAAGTAAAATGATAATTTTATATTTCGTGGCATCCATGAGGAAGCCTTGACTCCCTAAGGCTCTACAGTGTATACTTTAGGAACCACTGCCATAGACGTAAAATTTCTGTTGATTACACACTGTAAGTGATATAAGTACACATCAATTGTTAAAAAAAAAAAAAAAACAACTGACAGCGTATGTAAAAGTTTTATTCTTCTAGATTATTATCAAGACTCCCACATACTTATACAATTTCTTTTTATAAACTTGGTACATACTGTTTACATACATAACATTTTTGTACATTTTCTGACTATTATGTAGTGCAGGGGTGGCCAACAAGTCGATCACAAAGCCAATTTTGGTTGATCGCTCATGATGTCTTGACTTAATGTGTTACACTTGTAACCGAATGCAATGCGTGAATGTAACGTGCAAATGCAATTGTAGTGATATAGGAACTCCGCGTTCTCCCTCAGATGCAGTTTTGTCAGTCCATGTGCAATTGATTTGCGTACAGTTGTAAAAGGGAAATAAGAAATGTAGACAAAACCAAAACAAAAAAAAAAAAGAAAGGCGGGAAGAGGGACAGAGAGAGTAGGTTGGGACACAATAGAGAGAGAAAGGGTGAAGTGGTGGTCCCCAAAAGTGACAACATTGAGTTTCAATTTTTATTCTGTTTAAAATGTAAGTACCCTTTCTTTATGTTTTAAATTAAATTGTGGCTTTTCTTATCTATCTAAACATAGTATATATTTCCCATCCTCCTTCGCCACTTAGACTATGCCTACTACATCAAGTCACATTTTTACCACACAAGCATTTTTAAGATCAAATGTAGATCTTATGTACACAAAAGTTGTCAATCCCTGAAGTAGTGTGTTGTACACAGTGATTGTATGCGGCAGTCATGTATTTCTGATAGACATTGTGTGGCTCCCATTGCAACAAGGTTTGACCACTCCTAGTATGGGAGTTTCTTAACAATGAATATAATTTTGAACCAACATGAAATAAAACATATTTAGTTTAATTTATTTTCTACATTAAATAATTTTCTATTAAATTGATTGATAAATGCACAAAAAAATTCAGGTATATATCATGACAACTTCCAGCTTAGTATTATAGTAATAATAAAAATAAGAATATTTAAATGTAAATAACATAAGTAACACAATACCTCTGAAACGAATCCAAAGCTTCCATTAACTTGCTGCGCATGACTTCATACTTAAAAGCTTCAACGTTGGGAAGTATGGGTAAATTATCTGCTGGACAAGTCTCGTAAAAGTCGTTCAGAACGATTTCTAGTTTACGTCGAAACAGGGGTCTTAATTTGTTCCAAGGAAACCTGGGATAATATAATCGTATAAGCTTTCTTATCTATGCAAGAAATCAATTGGTTAAATTTCCAAATATATAAATAGGATACACCTTATTGCAAATATAAAATTTTAACATTAACAAGTATTTTCAATCTAATTTAGACTAAAATTATTCATTAGAATTTTGTCTTAACAATATAAAAGTTTCTACTCAGTACAGTCCTACTAGTGATTTATTAAAGAACTATTGTGATTAAAAATTTAATGCAGACTAGAGTACTAATAATCAAGTAATTTAATAAATACTGATAGATATTACATATCATATTTAAAGATCATTGTGAAATCATTGTTTCAAGTTCAAGTATGCACTCAAATAGATCCATAACAGATCAATTTTTAAAAAAATGCACTTGAAACGTGGGTCTGAGAGTGCATATGGTAATCTGACTGAATGTGTTAAATGCTGCCAACATTTTCAGCCTATTTTTTCAGTTCTACAAGCTATTTGAAAATTATGAAGCAAAATAAATGCAGGGTCTTCCAAAATGAATGCTACCATTTTAAATTACCATAACTATGCTAATTATTATCCAAAAAGTATGCTAAGTATATCAATCAATAGAGTAACTGTCAGAGTTTTGTCTCGAGTCTGATTTGGATGTTTTCTACTGCCTCCAGAATATACCATAAACAAGATGGCAACTCCACAATAGGATTCAATTTGTGTACTGCAGTTTGCAAAGTTGGAATTAGTCACAACTGTGAAACACAAGTAATCTGGAAGGGCATAGAATTGCAGTTGCCATAGGAAGACTGACAATAGATATGCCATAGCAAACATACGAAGAATTTGAGTATCCATATGACACAAGATGTATGCACTGAAAAATTGCAATGGGCACATGCGAAACTTGGACAATTTTCCAATGCTTTAATATACAGTACATTAAAATATTCTTGGATAACAATTAACATAATTACAGTAATTTAAAATGATAGCATTCTCTTCAGAAAACACTATAGAAATGCTTCTGTGTACTCTCTTTTCCACACAAAATGTAACGTGTTACATAAATGAATCTATTAACTCCAGACATATATTGCACCATTGAAAGAACTTCTCTAGTTTAAATTCTAGAGCTTTCATAAACTCATTTTCCTGTTTTTCATCACAAGTATGGGTTTTATGCAATATATTTAAAACAATTCAAAATGCAGAAGTAATATATGATGCAGAAATGCAGAAAATACAGAACACTGCACAACTGTAAGGACAGAACACAATTATTCATTACAATGTTAAATATTATAATTAAAGATCATATAAATTTATGTATCTGAATTTAATTTATACAAAGATGGAAGATAGCTTACAAGTTTTTAATTACAGATTGAGCACTTAAATCATTCTTTAACTGATAATAACTGCAAGATATCCAATGCTTAGTCAGAAAAATAATAACAATCATTATTACAGTGCAATCAGGTTTAACTGTTTGAAAAAATCAATTATTTTAAAAGGCAATTTTAAATCATATACATATTCTTATATTATAAAATATACAATTGTTTATTCGTCTTTATAATTACTTTTAAAGATCTTTAATTTTGTCAAATTAATAAGAATTTAGAGATTAAATTACCCTATTATTCAAATATAATTAATTTATCTAATTAATTAAACAACAGTTTAATTTAAGTAACTTAAAACTTAAGTAACTCAAGAACACTACACATATCAAAATATATAATCAATATAAATAAATATGAAAGAATGACTGGAAATTTAATAATTGTCAATAAAAAATGAACATTTTTAATATTAAATAACAAAAAAATAAAACAAACCCTAGTAGAAAAAACAAAAAATACTTAATGATAAACATTTTCAGTAACTTTAGCTACCACTTTCATTTATTATTATTCAGTTTATACATTGTTTATATGGAATACTTTTAGCTTGAATTCATATTAATCAATTCTGTTTGATTAAATATGAATTACCTGATAACATTTTTTATAATTAAATATTGCAAGAAGTTCTTATAGTGTATTTTAAATTATTATGGTAATTTGTAGCTGTGATTCTGATCGTAACATGTACATGTTTGGCATTTTATTTAGTTTCCACACTCGTCTTTACTCAATATTTCCGCTTGTAAGAAATTATTGAGTAAGACCGACAAGTGATTATTCTATTCGTAAAAAGAATGATGACTCTTACTTATTCTGTAATTCTAAAATAAAGTAATAATAAAAAAAAACATTAATAAGTCTTACATGATATCTCCTGTTTTTGCAATCCGTACCAAATAATCATCTAAAATAGGAGGAATTTCACTAGGCCTTTTCTTTTCGAAATCTGTAAGAAATGCATTCGATTTAATCGTTAAATTATGTTATTTATTAATATACTTTCAATAATAAAAATCAATTCCTTAAATAATATAAAAGCATTAATTACTAGACACTATTTTATAAGGGAGATTATGCATACCAATTTTTAGGGATATGTTTTATTTGATTCTTGTAGAAATGTATTAACAAACAAACAAAAATTCTGTATTAATATAAGAGACACATCATTATTCATATATAATGAAAATAGAAAATGTAGATTAATTTCTTGTAATATTAATATAATGTAATATACAGAAATTATACTACTAGATGTAATGAAAATTTCTAATACAGTAGACCCCCCTATAACGCTTAGATACGTTCCACGCTAACCGAAAATTACGTTGTAGGCATGATTATATACATGAGCCAATCGCAGCCCGATAGGTGGGAACTTTACGGACTAAGGCTGTTCGAAAGGTATTCTTCTATAAAATTAACCGATTCTAGACTAATTCGACTCAACATTTCCAAAATACGTATAATTTTTTGGGAATAATCTGTATAAACTATGCTATAAACAAAAAATTATAGGATTACTTACCGAGTGTGTACC